GTCTGTACTATTATTTGGACTATAACAATCTTATATCGCATTATCAAATCATTAATACCCTGCGGCATCACTATGTAATATGACCACTCCTCCCGCCGCATACCAAAATTGCATTGTATGATGATCCTCGTCATGGACACTACCCCGAATCGCGATGTAAATGACCATTGAGTCTCGGACCCTATTATAATATATTTTCATACAACAATAATACCATTATATCGCTCCCCATTGTCATCAGAGACAATGTCTCGCTCTAAGTGGGGAGGGTGTAAGGTGGGCGCCACCGAGTGGCGCCGAGTTTGGACGTGTTTGGTTACTGAGTGATAGATGGACGGATTGGGCAGGCGGATCGTTAGACAACAACTACCTCTGAATCTGCTTAGCTCAATTACCTATCTTGTATCTCTCGCAATAAGACGAGGTTCCGTTTATTGGTGTGTGTGTGATACAAGCTAACTGTACTGACTACGGAGATTTTACAAAGGCAGGGTCGATGCATGGAACGAGTATACGTACCTTGAGCTATTGCATAGGGAGTTGGAGATTTCACCCGTTGTGCTCACGTCCGTCAACGACCCCTTAGGCAAGCCATATATAGCTACCTTGCTAACTAATCTCCATAGTGCTTCTAGATCTGTAGCCTTCTTGGTCGTCGCGGGGATCGACAACATCACTATCATCATGTCCTTGGTGACAGTCACGTTCACGTTAGGGAGCATAATGATATACTTACAATAGCAGCATGAGACAGGCAAGATCTTTCTTCTGGACATCGTTAGTGAGATTCTTTTGTGCTGAGGGTTTTGGCTGACGGCACTTCCATGTCTAGCCGCCATGTATGGCATCCCTGCTAGGACCATCCTTGGCCGTCCACCGGTGCTAGACCAGAATGAGGGGCCTTTCAAGAGGGTGACATATATTCCCGTTTTTATCTCGGCCTTTCTCTTTATCTGCATCATATTGGTATAACGGTTGCATTCTTTTGGCAACATCGCAGTCGGCATCGTCGCACTGGACGAGGCCTGTAAACTCACGTGGCTAGCATACAGCATCGTTGACAGTCATTAGTACTGAACTGCTGTAATCCACGAATCGAACTTGTCCATTCTCGCGTATTGTACAAAGTTATCACAAACACTGATGGTCGTTAAGGAACTCTGCTATGAGATGAATTGCATGTGTTGCGTTGGAACAGACTCTCGAGGAGACGGTGAGGGTGCCGCCCTTCAAGGCGAGACAGACACGTGCACTGTTTCCCGGGGTAACAATGCTCGGACATTCGGATGGAGGGCTCCAAGAAGTATTCGCTCAAGTTTTTGAAAGTCTAGCACGCCCGAATAGGGGACAGTGTCCACCATGTTCTATGGAAATAGTTAATAGCTTCTAAATTGCGGAAGGCACGTTCAATACCCACCCCGTTATCACCTTCTACGAGTTCCTGCAACTTTGAAGTCGCATTACTGTCGCTTCCGACCTGCACGAATTGAATACCAATGGAATTGGGATGGTGGTGATGTGTCTTCAAGTGCGAAGCGGATTGAATTATCACGTCCTGGGGCCGGTCATCTCCAATCGCTCCTCAGCAACGCCCTGTATATATACCAACTTATTACTGAATTGCTTACCAGGCTTGCCGTCTGTGATGACGATCACATCGAGTGGCTTGATATCAGAGTATTCGGGAGTGCCAATGGCCAAGTCCAGTCTGCGAATATGAGGGTCCAGCACCCTCTTCAAGACTGCGCCAGTTGGTGTGCGACCTGGAAGTGACGTATTAAGCATAGCGAAGAAATATAGATGGAGACAGAATTGTACCGGTTGGCTGTACTTGAGTGAATAACTGCGTAATTGTGATGGAGTCCTATGCAATTCCACCCGTCAGGAAAGGCACAAACAAGGTCACCACAAATCAGACAACCTGTCCTTCCACGTGTACGACGGGCGAATTGAAGAAATGAACATGGATTGCATCGCCCACATTGGGATGTGCCCGGGCATGGTTAATTATGCCGACCAGAGCTTGGGAAGTTTCTTGCCACAGGTCTCCGTACATCTAGATCCTTTAAGGGGGATATCATCATTCACTCCAGACTCCAGACTTACTGATTGAGAATCATCAATGACAAAAATCACTTCGAATTCGCTACCATGCTCATCATCAGTCCATTCCTCTCCCGAGAACACGAGGAGGGCAGGGTTTTACCGTAAATAGTGAGTGAGATCCTGCGGCCGCTTCTTGTCAAGCTGAGGGTTGTAGCCTGGGTTTGTGTCAACGGGAGGGGGAGGAGGATCCAGCGTTCGTGCTTCTTCGACCGTCCTTGGGGCATTTATGACTCGGGGAGCTCTCAGAACGAGTTTGGAAGCGATTTTCCCGACGATCTCGTTCTGCAAGGGTGCATCCAGCCATGCTTTCACCGCCACTTCCGTTTTCTGGTGGGCCAAGTATTCGTCGAGGAAAGCTAATGGAGGGTCCAATCTTTGGTATATTTCCCTATGTGTGTGGACGTGGTATCAGAAGGTTCATCCAAGTGTTGTGGCAACTTACCGATCAAGGGCTGATACCGCCTCGAGAATATTGAGGTGAACGAGTTCCGAATCGGCAGCGATGGATAACAAGTACTTCGAGATTTTTTCTGATTGGACTTTTGCGGTTTCTTCTTTGACCTCATGGGATTTCTTGAGAGCGATAGGCCCCGAGATACATTGAAGCTGTCGGTCCGTAGGGCTCCAGTCGCGAGTTGGATTTTGTGGACGTAGCTCTGCGACTCGGAGTCCACAACCTACACTGACTATGACACCGACCTCTTCAGCATTCCACAACCTGGACGCCTCTCTATACGCGAGCAGTGTCGGATTGTTAAACCCGGATGTTCCTGCGTCCCCATACGTCGAATGTTTGCCATTTTGTTCCAAAGACAGAGGCTGCATAACGAAAGGCTGCGCAAGTGTGGCTCTGGCAACTTCGTAGATAGACCATTCGTGTCGGAGTGGCATCGTGTTAGAGGCTTGCGCAGGGGTGGGATAGGAGCGGACTTGATTAATCATCCCAGTGTAATATGGTGAATCGGCCGAAAGGGGGACCAAGACCTGTCGACGAATATATGGAGACCCTGCCAGGAGATCGAGAATGGCGTACCTTGCAATGCTGTCCACCAGGAGAGGGCATTTGGAAGAGACTAGTGCCTCCATATGTCCCCACCAGTGCTTTGACCTGTTCTTCGTACTGCCGTTCCTTGTCAGAACCATGGTCACCTGAGCCACTCAATAAGCGATCCCAGAATGGCTGCGGCTCCTCGCCCATAAGGCGGCCAACTATATTTTTATATGCTTCGATGGCAACAGAGCATTCGAGCCCTAAGCGACCGAGCAGTAAAGCTATGAGGCCACCTGTGGAGGAGCCACAAATCATGTCAAATACTTCGCAAGGTCGCACTGGTGTGTTTCGCCCGGCTATTTTCCCGGTTTCTTCCATTATTCTCTCCACCACGAGAAGACTGGAGAGACCACGAAGACCACCCCCGTCAAGTGATAAGATGCGTCGGTGGGATGCTCACATACGAAGCATCAGCTCGATTACGGATTCGCTCAGTGAAAGGACACATACGATGTCGTAGAGCCATGGGCATTTCGATACGCTTGAGGATGATGGATACCTCTGAATAGCGTACAAGGTTTTATAGAGAATATTGCCTCGCGGGAAACATGTGCTATTTGACACCCTCTGCTTCATTTCAGAAAGATCAGGTCCGACGATTAGCGCTTCAGCGATCGACCTGCCAACTGCGCGGTGCATCGATTCCTTGAATACAGATATTAAGAGATAGCGCGAGTCTGCACGACAGGGAAGTTCATACGAAAAATTGCAAATAGAGGCCGAGCCAGCGGTTACGGAAAGACGCCCATATATGCATCGTCCAATCGTAATGCCCGCACCACACTAGTCCACCCAACGGATCATATCGGCGTCAGAAATATCCCTCCAGTTCTGAGCCTTAGGCTGGTATTGTGACTTATCCATCCTCTCTCTGACAGAGGAATGGACAAGGACAGTCTGATTCCTGTGAGGTATGATTCTTCCTCCGCCGTAGTTCGGGCTGCAATGATCAGCCGATCTATACATTCAGTCGGGGTACTCTGAGAATAAGAAGAACGACCCACAGTCGATGGCGTAACCAAGTCCCGTCCACCTTCTGGTACGTTTGAAGCATGGGTATGTACTCCAAGAACCACCAGAAGCGGACGCTGTTGAGCTGGTCATAGATCCAGGCCAAAGCATCTATATAATCCTTGGGGTGAAGCAAGGCGTGCAGGTCACTCCGTGAAAGCATGAGGGTATGCAGAGGCGGCCCGCTGGACTCGGGATTGGGGTTCATCCTTGGGTCCGTCGACGTGTCGGTATCGAGATCAATACCGATATCTTTGAGGTACACCTTATCGAATAATCCGACCTTGGAGCTTCGGCATTCCTTGATCATCCAACGCAAGGTGATATTGGACAAACTTTCCTGCTCCTCAGTTCGGTGAGAGCCACCACCAACGTCGGCGTGGCAACCTAGAACCCATCTCAGTAAGGTATACGCCTCCAATCGAGACGCATCCAGCTTCACCTGAAAACCACACTTCTTTGACATCCACACCTCGATCAATGGGTTCATACACCCAGTCGTCGCGTTTGTCAGGTTCGGGTAGTTCGATCTGTATATCATGGTCCAATACTTCTTCTCTGACGGTGGGTTCGCCCCATATATTAGGACGAAAACGCGCCCTGCGTTCATCCAAAGCCAGCGCGTGCCGGAACGTCGTAACATTGTAGCATGCAGCAGAGTACGGAAGAGCTCTGGGTATAATGCCGACCGATGAGACGGTATCCCTAGTGTATGATCAGCCGAGCCGTCGTACCACTACAGTATTGTCGCTCACCAGACGCCGAGGAAATCGACCTTCACATCCATGCTAATCCAATTCAGCACCTTCGTCATCAGCAGAGAAAATGACCCACCAGAACGTGTCCTTAAACTCTTTACTAGTCATCGCGGAAGAGATATCCGTTGACTGGTACATTGTAAAGGCGAAGTCTACTTGTTGTTCGTTGTCTGGCGGAAGAAGGCCAACCTGCTGGACAGTCGAGGTACCAGTGATATAACGTGAGTCGGGGCCGTACCTTGTATAGCATCCCAGCCAAGGCACGCGCCGTGTACGCCCCTCTCGAGAAGCCAACCAGACAAATCTTGTCACCCGAACTTCGGCAAGTTATCAGTATTGCGCCCCATTGATGACCTGGTCACCTACCGATAGTTACGCATCAGAAAGGTGTATCTGAGGAAACAGTGAGATACATTCTCTCCGAGTAGCAACGTCTACCCACCCGTCCTTGACATGATCATTCAGATGGAGGGCTACGGCTTGATCAAGCGCCGAAGACAAGTGAGTAAGCGTTCGAGTATGAAATTCGCGTTTGTTGTATGTGCCAATGCCAGCCTACCGTGCCCAATGACTACATTCCCACTAGAGCAAGGCGTTAGAACTTACTTGGTAGTAAGGAAGCTGCTGCTCGGGATTATCTTTGATGAGAGCACGGAAAAATCGGACTACGTTGGAGTTCTGATGCTGTATCAGTCTCACAACCCTGGCGATTGCCACAAACGTTGTCTTACATTCTAAGAAGCGTTAAGGCCTAGATCAGTACGACTGATGTAGATTTTCTAGGGATTATTACCTCTCCGAACTTATTTCCCGTACCATCAAAGCCTAGAAAATCGTCAGGGTAGGAAGGATATCACGCTACACGAGGACAACGTACATAGGCACAGGGTGCGACTCTGAGGTTCAGGGACGGCTGGAGCGACGAGAGGATTCATGGGCGGCAGGAGTGGCCTGGGCAGAGTATTGGATACGGGACTCATTGGTCTTAGCATCGGAATCTCTAGTAAGAAGATATAAATTGGTTACCAAGTCGGAGTACAAGACTATCCTTTGCGCTGCATGTGATGCTGATATTTAAACTAAGACAGAGGCAAGTCACACAAAACCTCGGAAGCAGGGATAACGCGATCCTCTTTCAATCGTCAGGTTGCAACGTTGCTCCAGCTGCGGAAAGCGTTCATAGTGCACCCACACTAGTCTTGTTGGAAACGATATCGTCCGAAAGCAGGCGTGTCCCGTCAGGCATGTAACATCGCGGCGAAAGCTCAGCAAACATGCGTCTGGCGTGAACAAATTCTTTCAACCGCCGTGGGCGCGCATCGCCGATTCCGAGTCACTGCCCAATTTGAACTGGCGGCAAGAGCATTCCATTGCAGCATGAGAGAAGACTTCGACTCTGATGAGCGCCGTGCATACTCCAGCCACGCTGGGTCGGGAATAAGAGCATGCCGATGTTGAACGAGTGGCGAGCCGCGAACGTGTCTGATCCTGTCTGACAACTGTTTGATCATGAAGCATGAAGATCGGGTCACCACAGGTATTAATTGATTGCCTCCGTGTAGTGTCTTCTCACGTCCTGATTCCAGCTGAACTTTCAACTTTGCGAACCTTACGTCTGACGTTGTTCGCAGCATGCGGGGACCCCTGTTGAATATTAATTGGACCTTGCGGGAGTTCCCGCAACGCCAGTACGTATCGTTCGGCTCCGTAGAGGAACAAAGACGACACCGATGGGAACTCGAGGGACATCATGCTATATGTTAGTATATGGATGCAGAATGTTCGATATAGCAGGCTTGGAATGCATACCGATGACGCAAAAATAAGTCACAATCCAATTCTTCCTATCGATAGCAGCGTGCTGACGGACGATTCTTTGTTACATCAGTTCAATCTGTGTCCTGGGGATTCCAAGGTTCACTCGTCTCTATCGACCGATCTCACTGTGACAATACTAGTCACCGTGTTTTACTGCCTCAGGCCGAGTCGCCCTGCACGGAGGAGTCCGAGGCATCATGCGATGCTTGTTCTTTGCATCGCGATGCTCCGACCCCAGCCAGCGTCCCTGGCGGCAACTTGAAGCAGAATGCCTCGACTATGCCCCTGAATCGCGAGGCCTGTCATCATCGCTGATACACCAAGGTGCCGAGGCTATACTTTGCACACGGGCGCGGCGATTTCGACACTTCGCGGACCTTGCCCCTCCAGAGATCGTTCCGCGCAATTGTGGCTCGTGGTGTCGGCATTCCTTACATTCAGGGCTCTTCCCACAGGCCTTGCCGCCATGCTTTGCTGAGGTCTTCACCGTGTCGGCATGTCGAGTATCTCTGGTCGGTGTGGCTGCCGGAAGGCGTTCTTGCCGGTGTTACGGCTCTTTCCGACAAGCTATGTCGATGTAGTCATCCATGCGGACCACAGTAGTATATCGGCAGGTACTACAACGCACAAGCAGCGCGTTCTGGGCGCCAAAGTGCCCAGAAATGTGTATTTATCCACCTGAGCGTGCAACCATATATTTCAATTCCTGAGTTGTTTTCTTCCCCGGCTCATCATACAAGCAACACATATTTGCTATCTCGTTGCCAGGATCCAATCTTGACTTTATGGATCCAGCAGACCTGAATGACGGTGTAGAGCAGGCTCCTCCGCCCGTCCTGACGATTCCCCAGTCGCGCATGCAGCGTATTACTGCCACTTTCGTCAATCCTATCCGCAAGGCACTCGGATACAAGGATGAGGAACCCGTGGAGCCACAGAGACAGATCGATCCCGCTCATGGCAGCTACGTGCGTGACTAGTACGATGTCCGAAGGCAAGTGCTGATTGCCGAATAGACTGCATTCGCGAAGTTGTTACGAAGTCCACCAATTAACGACAGGGATAAGCGTCATGTCGTAAGTAGTTGTCTCGCATGGTGGCGAGTGTCCTGACTGTCGTTTGGTTCAGTTTTTTGCGGCCATGAAGTCCATGACAGCCCTTCCCGAGGATTCACCGATGCGGGCAAAGTTCAACAAGACCTTCATCGACATTGGTATAGTATGCTGTTTGTTGGGTTAGATGTACGCTCTAACTTTCGAATACAGTGAACAACCAGAAACGACCCGCCCCTCGATACCTGAGGTCTCCTGCTTACCACGCATCCGTGACTCCGCAGCCCTACGCTCGAAGTGCGGACCCCAGCTCAGTCTCGCATTCGCTGCCGGATGCTGCTTCAGTTTTTGATGGTCTCCTCAAAGCACACACAGTACGTACATCAGTCTTCCAGACGAAGAGCGCCATCATGAGGAACTGACGATCCAATGCATAGTTTTCCGAGCATCCCAACGCTATCTCTGGAATGGTTCCAGCATTTTTGGCTATCGTCTCGGTATGGCTGTGACCCATAGTTGTCTACCAAGGCCGTAATGCTGACGGTCACTCAGCTATGTTTGTTTCGCACTAAAGAGGATGATCCTGAATTCAATGATACGTCTCCGTATCTCGACCTCTCGCCGCTATACGGTTCAAAGCCAGAGGATGAAGACTTAGTCCGCCAAAAGGACGGTCGCGGGATGCTATGGCCTGACTGCTTTTTCGAGGACAGACTCATGTTTTTGACGCCAGCAGCCCAGGCGCTTCTAATCGTTTGGAACAGAAACCACAACGTGCGTGTTCATTTATCTTTACCAAGGGACTCTCGATGCATGTATCTGATTGGCCTCTTCAAGTCCATTGCGAATCGCCTGCTTCTGGAAGGGGGATTTCCTCTCCCGACTGAAGATTCATTCTCACAGCAAAAACTGAAGGAACAGGATGACAAGATATTCCGCACGGCTCGTCTCATCAACTGTGCTATGTTCAAGAAGGTCATTGTCGAAGATGTTCTGAAGGGCCTCTTAGGACTACCCAGCGTGGGCAGTACCTTGAATTTGGATCTGTTGGAAGTAAGACTCCAAACGTTTCACCGTCTGGATGGTTTTGACATCTCTGGTAGACGACGCGCAGTGATGATAAGCCGCCCAAAGTGAATGCACCGGAGCATAGGTCATGCATTGAGTTCAGTCTGATATATCATGTGAGTATGCGCCTGGTTTCATAGAATTATCCCAGATTATACTTTGCCCATCTAGTGGTCTTTCCTATCATCTGTAGGTGATATTGAGTGGATGAAAGGTGTCATGGAGCAAACCTTCGGAAGCAAGGACATCGCTGATGTGCGTAGGATATTGCTCCTGTGTATAGACGGGGTGATGTACTAACATGTGACCCTAGTTGACCCTCGACGACTACGACAATGCCGTCAGGAACTACAAGACTGAAGTCGATTCCAATCGCAGGAGGCGTAACTTACCTGGGTATACACCCACGTATCAGACCCGGTTCAGCCTTCCTCATGTTATGTTTCTCATAGGCTTCTCCGTGGCGACGATGGCTTGTTCGACGATAATGAACTCGCCAAGGTACTACAAGATGCAACACAGTCTGTCGCTGGGGCACCCCGAGCCCGCGGAATATCCCAGTGCATGCGAATTTTCGAGCTCGTAGCAATGGAACAATCAAGAAGGTGGAAGATGTGTACCTTCAATCAATTCAGGGAATCTTTAGGTCTCAAGGGTGGGCATCTTTCAATGTTCTCTGGTTTGGATTACTCTGAATGACAGAATGAAGCTCTGAGTAACTTCGAGGAATGGAGCGGTGCGCCTGGTATTGCCGATGCTGCCAGAACCCTGTACGGTGATATTAAGAACCTAGAACTCTATGTAATGATGTCTCCCTCCAATCCTGACTCTGCTCTTACTTGCGCTTTCCTCAATAGCCTGGTTTACAAGCCGAAGACTCCTCCCCTGGTACAGGATTTGGTCTCGGGTATACAACCGTGAGTTTGCCGATCCCGGTTCCAGAGGTTGTTACTGAGGGATCATTTATAGACTTTCGGACTGTTGGTTGATCTGGTTTGTGTGCTTGATCAGCGTACTCTGCGCTGCATAATGACTGTTCCCCAGGTTGGTGCCATTCGTGCAGACCCTTGCAATTCTGAGTATACGAGTAAGTGTTGGCTCAAGACTATGACTTACGTACGAAATGGCTGATCGTAACAGGAGAAGTCTTGACCGAGTGGGGGTACAACGAATGCTTCGGAAAGTCGGACATTGGATCGTTTGGTGCTCTTCTTCCTAAAGGTATTATACACTGTATCACTTTAGTTTATGCTGACTGGAGGTTACCCTAGTTCTCTCCAGGACTTTACCGCAAAACTATCCCTACGACAATACTTATACCCTCTTTCCATTTACCGCCCAAGGCCCAGGTCAAAATGCGCTTAAAGTTCTCAATGAGCAGTACAACCGAGCGAGGCCGTGCGGAACGAAAATCCTTAAGACGAAAGGGGCTATTAGTCAAGTCTTAAATAATCCTGAAAACTATGCCAGTTGTTACAGTCATAACCTGAAGGCGCTTCTCGGTGGTTATGGGTCAGTACTTCAGGATAACTGTGATTCCTTTAATTGATGATGATGTCTAGGTTCCTCTTGGGCTTCGATACGAAGAAGCTGTAAGTAGTGTTTCCTCATCGCCCCTCACTCTTTGACTTCTGTACCTTATTTAGGCACGATGCCGATGAGCTCATGGTGAGGCTCCTTGCTTAACCAGTGTTCCAACCACACTGACATTTCGTCTTTCCTCCAAACCACACAGATTCTGCATGCCCTCCTTCCTGACAAAGGGATATTATCAAAATATGCGGAATATTTCGCTCGGACAGCAGATGAACTCATCCTGGCGAAGTGCGTGCATTGCACTGGTCCTAGCCCTTGGGGCAGAGTGTTGGCTCTGACAATGAACTACCAGGGAAGGTTCAGTCGACAGGGAAGGTTCAGTCGACGTCGTGAAAGACGTGATCGAAGCAACTTGCTCGCGATGGATTTGCAATGCTATGGCGAGTCACAGCTTCAATTGGTACCCACCGTTTCTTATACCCCCTTATAGTACGATGTACGAGCAAAAGATCCCGCAAGCCCAAGCGAAATATTCGAGACATTTCGAGAGCTATATGCGTGAGTACTGTCCACCCGCGACACGGCATAACGAAGCTCAGACTCTCGGTTTTCCCAGCTATGTCTTTGAGTTTAATGAGCCTGATCAAGCATGGACTGCTCGTGCCAGAGCTTTAAAAAAGAGTAGACGGCTCATGGACGACATAGCAAAGACAGTCGAGAAAACTCTGGCGACCTCCGAAGAGGTGAGGGATCTATTGTCTCAGGTGGACTTGACCTCAACAGGCCACAGACCCTGAGTGAGCGCATAGCTCGAGTCTATAAGGAGGCCAGCGGCCTTCCGGTCGGAAAGCTGTCTCCCACACCTTTCTTAAGCAGGCTCGCCATGAAGCACCGGGATACGTTGCGACATTTTGCAGGCTGGGACGCCATTCGGAACACTGCAGATCTTAAGATGCTGGAGCTGTTCCGCGATGAATGCTGGAAACCATTACCAGAGACGCAGACCTTGAGCCACCGGGACCAGCTAAGGCGCTCGCTGCGCCTGCGAGAACTTGAGGAGAAGTTCCGAAGTACTCGTATCGCAGCCAACATACTGGGGCTCTGCATCATGTCCGTTATGATGACAGAAGGTATTTCACTTGTACCTCCTATACCTAAGTAGTTGCTTGACTTGATTTCCAGTATGCGCTCGGGCCGTCGAGTTCTATCTCATTCACGGAGGCAGAGATGAGAAGGAAGAGATTATTCGGATTTCGAAAGCCGAGCCGACGAGTGACAATAATCGCAAGATTATGGGCTTCATCCGGGAAGCACAGAGTTCGTCATATTCTTCCATACTACATCCTCATTTGCTGATGTTACGCGCAGGATTGGCGTTGCCCCCGGGGCTCTTCCGAGTTGCTCGCGGGCTACCCGACGGTGGCGAAACCATTGCTCAAGGAGATGGGTATCCCGAGGTAGTAGTCTACAATGGCGACCGAGTCTTCGCCAACTTCGCAGCACAGCTGGTGGCAGTTCGTCTGATCTTGCCAGCCTGTCCATGATGGTGCGCTAATCCAAGTTGGACTGCAGACAAATGACATGCGCATCAATCCGCACCGTCCTAATCCTTATATTCATGGTTTGGGGTTTCATAAATGCCCAGCCATCAGCCTGGTCGATGGGGTTAGTTGTCACAATTCGACTCGTAGTGATCTGCTAATCCTCGGTCCTGTCTGTCAGGTTCTTCCAGAGGTACGCCGTTGCTGTACAGCTTGAGAGAAATTAGCCTCAGACACGTCGTCCTTCGACAGTTGTTCAAAGCTATCTTCCGCATGGAGAACCTCAGGGTCGGTGAAGGCGGTCGTCTCACAGGGGGAGGGACTGGTGGAGTATGTTCCGCGCCGCGCATTACCATACATATATGGCTTACACAATACCGTGGCAGAAACAGCGCTCTCTGGTCCGCAGAGGAACCCCACTCCGGTCACTTATTGTGAAGGTGAGTAGTGCTGTTTCTGCGCAATGGACTAGGGTACGCTAACGGACCTTGACGTATGAAGTTCGATGGGTACGCATTAGCCTCTCTATATCTTTCCGACGGCGTTAAACTCACGATCACACAGCGTGTACAAACCCCCCATTAGGTGGAAAGAGCCTCAGAGCATGCGGGAGAAGTCCGAATGGTGGCAACACATCGTCCACAGGATCAAGCTGACCCTGAAAGTGGTCGTGATCCTATTCATTATCCTAGGTTAGTGCACGCCTGCAGTGCCTAAACCGTCTTTTGACCGGTAGGCTAGGCGTATCCATTCTATTCATGAAAGTCACGCCGGCTGTACCTCAAGTTCATATGCCTTCATTGCCAAGACTGCGCATGCCCTCGATACATATGCCCAACTGGTTCGAGAGGACACCTCAAGATGCCGTCTGCAGACAGCCGCTCACCGCGTTCGACCCATGGCATGCGGAGACCATTCGGCCCGGGCCCGACGGTAAACCGCGACCGATCGAATACACGTACAAGTCTCGCAGGCCGCACCGCCTCAGTGTCGTAGACATTGACAAACGGGACATGCAACTGGAGCTCTTCGTTGACGGGCAGTCGAGAGGAGTGACGACGGAATTCACGCTCGACAAGGCCGTGGACTGTGGCGAAGACCTGAGGAGGTGTCTCCAGGAGCGTTTCAGCGCGGGTGTCATCGAGATACCGCCCGGGAAGCATACGGTGAAGATCGCTTGGGCAGGGAAAGGTGAGCGCATTCCGGCACGCTTGGAGATTCCAGTATTGATCAGCCATGGCTAGAATTTGTCGAGGGAACGAGGGATATTGATTGGGGAGCTGACAGAGTACGGAGGTTCGAGATGCTGCGCGAGGATTGCTCATGAACGGCCCGACGTTATGCTGCATGCTCGTGTACTGATTATGCTTGATCCGGATATTGTATTATTGAGCTGGTCTCCCAGAATTCTCGGACGTTGCAGGCGTAGAGCTGGAGGTATTAATTGGATGACCTTGTCTGGTATGGCGCATTGGCTGTGACAAGCGTAGCCGCAACGTGGTTGTCAGTGCGAGAGAGCGCCAGGTTGTCCCAGATCTGGCGGGGTGGCAAGTCGAAGGAGGTATGTCCAATCTCATTATCAAGATCTGTGGTGCAGCATATCCCTTTCCAACTGGGCGAGGAAAGCGTCCGCCGGATTGACAGGTGTCGTGTTGACTGTTGACCTCGTTACTTCCTTTCCCATTGCAGGCGGCACCGCTGGTCGGACCTGCGCTTTCTGCGCGGCGAGCGGGTCACTACCATCCGGTGTAGGCGATGAGGAGTGTGTTTCTCCGCCCATCTTGAACTGCGGAGCTGCAGCAGGTGCACTCGCGATATCGGCGGACCCGTCCGCGCCGCCCTTCACCTTCCTCCTCTTCGCGTCGACCAGCCGCCGGCGCTCCTCGAGTTCCCTCTTCCTCTTCTCCATCGCGCGGCTCTTCATCACCGCCTTGCTCTCCCCCAGGGCGTCCTCATGTTCGCCCCCGCGCATCCCCTCCACCTCGCCGGCGCGCACGTCCAGTGCGCCCGCCTCCCTGCGCACGCGCTCCGTCTCCTCGCGCGCGCGGCGCAGCTCGTCCATCTGGCGCGCACGCGTTTCCTCGTCCGCGGAGAACTGGTAGAACGCGGCGCCCTTGGCGCGCACCTCCGCGGACGCGTCGTAGTGGATGTTGAGCGGGTTGGCATCGTCGGCGAGGGATTCTTGGATCTGTGTGATGCGCTCGGCGGAGGGCTCGTAGGTCGGAAAGTGGTTCACCGGGTTGTCTGGCGGGGTGTGAGGATGAGTTTAGCTGGAGGGAGGGGATGTTACTTACATATTACATCGGAGCTAAGGAATGGAAAGTTGCGTCAGTGGACCAGGAAAGAGAGGACTATAGCTGATTGCACGCACTCGTCGCCCAGTATCTCTTCGATGGCGCCAGGCTCGGGAGGTGCTAGATGGCGGGGCACCTCGGACTTGCGCGCCGTCCTGATCCGCCCAAACTCGTCCTCATACTCCACGATCGGGTCATCCTCCTCCGCCTGCGGCGCCTTCGGGACACTGAGAGACTCGTCGACGTCGTCTGAGTCGGACTCGTACGCATTCGGCGCATCCTGATCGAACTAGCCGGAATAGCAGGTCAGCATGCTCGTAGTAGCTCTAAGAAAGCACCAAACGCACGTCGACCAAGAGCGCCTCGTACTGCTTGTCGCTCAGACCACCCGACTTGCCCTTGCGTAGTTGCTCGTATATCTTCGCCTTGCGCTCGAGCACGGCGCGCGCCTTCTCGAGGGTCGGCTTGCTCACGGCCTCGAGCTCAATCACGTCCTTCTGTGCGCGTGCTTTGACGCCCTTGTTGTTTTTGAGCCATGCCGATGGTTTCTGAAGAACACGGTAAGCTATAAAATGGATCAATTAAATGCCGACCGCACCTTGGATGGCCCGGCAAAGACGGGAGTGTTTCGCGGTCCTTTGGTCTTGGAAGACTGTTCCTCATGTTTGGCGAGCTCGGCCTTGAGGTCGAGGAAAGAGCTTGCGCTGACGCCTGCAGCCTTGGCTTTGTTGACCGGCGCCATTCCACTCCTGCAGGTGAGATGAAATATAACAGAGTTGGAAGTCCGGTTCAGCCACAGCCACAGCTTGCCCGGCGATTATGGATGACGTCAGCAAATTGACTTGGTGTGGCATTATCAAGTGTGGCGTCCGAACGGTTTGTTCCTCTCCAGTGGTAATTCACAATCCGCTCAGATAGTACATATATTATCTTCTTCAAGAATGTGGAGAACGCCAGCGCGCTAAGGCTTGGTTAAAGCTCTCTCCTTGCAAGCGATGGCGTATCATCTCAAGGAGGGCGGGTTAGCTTGGCCGACGTCTTGAACTTGCTACTTTGCTGGCAGACTGCTGCCCCCCTAAGGACTCATTGGTCTGGACAGCAAACACGCTCTTCGGGGAAAAGTCAGCCTTCTACACTGTCCTATGAAAGTACGACATGCGCGACATAGATGACCCTTCTCGACTCGGTTACCTCTGTTGCTCATCCAAGCTTTTTTGAAGCTGACACAGGCCCGCTGCAGCTTAGTGCGAAGGTATTGGTGTTCTGATCTGAAAGAGAGAAAGTATATACACAGTGCTGAATTGAGGTGGCTCATCTGCAGGCCCCTCCAAAAAGCTATGGGATACGGCAGACTTATGGGTTTTTACTATCTACCATGTTGGTGGAAGCCAAAAACCTATGGGTTATTACAGGTTATGGGTTATGACAGGTATGGGTTAAGACAGAGTCGACTGTACTACTAGAGGTGAGAAAAGCTACTGACCGTGAGCGACTGGATTATGCTGATATGGCTTGCCAAGGCGAAGGACAGAACGGCTAGCTCGGGAGGGTTAGCCGGTAGTCAGAGACTATGAGCGGATTCGACCTGCCGTCTCTCATTTTACTACTCTCTGACACGATCCTGCAATGTCACAGGTGCCGCACTACGTTCACGAGCGGTCAAACTTCCTCTTGAAGTATTCCTCAATGCTCGTTCTCTTTACTTCCGGCCAAGCCTCATGATGGTTGAACTCGGCCGGGCGGTATCCGATCCCCATCCCCTGGCAGCCCTTCACGGTGTACCAGAATTGCACCGGAATCTTGCTGCTCTCAGCGACCTCTTTGGGCGCTCTGCTGGGGTCCTCGATCACCCGATGCACCTCCTCCATCGGTACGTGCACCCGCTCGACGGGTTTACCGCTATACTCCTCCAGCATCTGCGCAATCCTCACCTGGCTGACGGTGTCGCTCGGGAAGTTTAGCGTGCGATTGCACGAATCCTCTGGTCTCGCGAGGGTCGCGACCGCGAAATTGGCGACGTCGTCGAGGCTCGACCAGTCCACCTTCGCGTTGGCGTCGCCAAGGATGTACATCTTATACTGCGGCCCGACGCGCGCGGGGTCCTGCGCCCACGCGCACCAGATGTACTCCCACTCCTGGTCGTAGAAGTCGCCGTTGCCGATGATGGTGTACGTGATCCGGCCTGACTCAACGGCGGGGTGGCGCACCAGCCAGTCGGCGAAGCGGGCTTTCTGGTCCCATAACTAAGGTGCTCGAAGAAGGAATGAGATGTCACGAGTGTCAGAGGGTAATGCGAGACTATCACTGACGGGATGGATGTGTCCCCACTCGTCACCGGGTTTGCGGTAGACGTTGTGGAAGCCCCATTCGCTGGGGTAGAAGCGCTTCACGCCTGCTTCCACGGCGGCCTCTAAGAGATCACGCTGCGCGTCTATGCCGGGACCGCTGAGGACGCTGATGACCACGTCGATCCCGCGCAGGGCCTGTGCCAGCTGCGCGCGATCGGAGGGGTCGGCTTCGAGGATGCGGACAGAGGAGGGAAAGGACGCCTTTTTCGATTGGGTGGTGCCGGGGCGGAGGAATACTGTGATGTTGGGCTTGTACGAGGGCAGCTGGGGGTTGGCGAGGGCTCGGAAGATGTGCTGGCCGATGTTGCCAGTTGCCCCGAATATGGCGACGTTCTGTAGTTTGGCTGAAGACATGACGGTCGTTTTGAAGGCTTGTGGATTGAATGAACTACGAGGGCATGATAGCTACTGCGCATGTTTTATAATAGCATAGTACGGTTTCTCGACCAATGCACGTCATATAGCATCTCATAGCATTTCACCTCTGTGCAGGCGTTGCCGGGAGTCTTCGCACTCGTTCGTGCGGCCAGAACATGGCTCCCTAAGGTTGCTCACTTTACTGCTTCTCACCGAACGTCCAGGCCGATATCGAGAGCGGTTTTTCAGCACCTGACACAAGCCCGCACGTAGTTCGTCGGCATCGGTGTTTCGGATCTGAAAGAGAGAAATGGAGGAAACGCTGCATGGCTTCAAAAGCCACTGACATGGATCTTTGCTATGACGCTTGTTAAGCCAGTTAACTCATCACCTCATACTCGTTCCATAATGCAGGTCCAACTGTCCGAGAATAAAGATTGCAGGGCCCGCAGCAGTGACTGCCAAAGTGGTACGCCTCTTGAACGTTCTTACTTTCTGAAAAGCAGCCCATGCATCACGAACCGCGGACGTCAATGCCGGTGACTGTCATGATCACTGGCCGCGATGGTGGCGTCTTGAGTCTAATAGTCGAGCGGTTGTTTGGCCTTGTTGAAAACGCAAGGCGTTGCCAAACACGCCCAATTGACTGCTTCGCCGTAGCCACCGGCTGTAATACTTAGCTGCACTGGGGCAATAATCTATCCGAATACCAGTATACTTGTTTGCTGCCCGCTATGTCTGTCCTGGCACCGATTATTTGCGATAATGGAACAGGATTTTCAAAAATTGGGTGAGTACCTGCAATGCTGCGTTTGCGATGTCTCTGACCTCTCCGTCTTGTGCAGTTTCGCGGGCAACTCTGATCCATCTTTGTACGTAGCTCGAAAGAGCCCAGGATCGCGCGCGATATTGACGCCAGCTTCAGCGTATTCCCGACCGCAATTGCAACGCGCGGCCCTGCAGCACAGGCGAGCAGAGGTCCCTCGGTACCCTCCAAGCCAGGCCATCTCGCGTCCAAGCGCGGGGTCGAGGACTTGGACTTCTTCATCGGGGATGAAGCACTCGCGAACGCGAAGACGCCCGGGTACACCGTGCACTACCCCATCCGGCACGGCATGATTGATAACTGGGACTACATGGAGAGGTACTGGGAGCAGGTCATCTTCAAGTATCTGAGGGCGGAGCCTGAGGACCACTATTTCCTCCTCGTGAGTCCCGCTTCCTCGCATGGTACTCTACCTCACACCCGCACAGACAGAGCCGCCACTAAACCCCCCTGAGAACCGCGAGCAGACCGCCGAGATCTTCTTCGAGTCGTTCAACATCAAGGGGCTCTACATCGCGGTGCAGGCCGTGCTCGCGCTCGCCGCGTCCTGGTCGTCCAAGAACGTCACCGACCGCACGCTCACGGGCACCGTTATCGACTCGGGCGACGGCGTCACGCACGTCATCCCCTGCGCCGAGGGGTACGTCATCGGCAGCGCCATCAAGCACATCCCCATCGCCGGCCGCGACATCACGCAGTTCGTGCTCAACCTCATGCGCGAGCGCGGCGAGATGGCGAACGTCCCGCCCGAGGACCAGCTGCGCGTGGCCGGGAAGGTGAAGGAAAACTACAGCTATGTGTGCCAGGATATCGTGAGGGAGTTCAGGAAGTATGATGCGGAGCCATACAAGTACTTTGAGCGGTACGAGGGCGAGCATAGCGTGACTGGACGGGTGAGCAGGCGGTTCCCCTTCTCTCGTGCGTCGTTAGACTAATTAACTGGTCGTGTAGAAATACTCCCTAGACGTCGGATACGAACGCTTCCTCGCCCCCGAGATCTTCTTCAACCCCGAGATCTATTCCTCAGACTTCCTGACGCCCCTACCCGAGATCGTCGACGGCGTCATTCAACAGTCCCCCATCGACGTCCGGCGAGGGCTGTACAAGGTCACCCTTTTGTACACTGTCCGTTTGTTGCCTCGCTCTCTGACATGCGCTCTCATTCCCAGAACATCGTGCTTTCTGGCGGGTCAACAATGTTCCAGCACTTTGGCCAGCGCCTGAAGCGCGACCTGAAACACCTCGTCGATCAGCGATTGGAAGCGAGCGCACGGGCTAGCGGGAGCGCACAGAAGGTGCGCTGGTATTATCGGTTCTCGGCTACCCGATTACTGACAGACTGTTTCTTAGTCTTCTGGCGTCGACGTCGAAGTTATCTCTCACAAACGTCAACGGTTGGTGCTCTCCTCTCCATTTGACCTTTTCTCTAACTCCTCGCATATCATAGATACGCCGTATGGTTCGGTGGCTCCCTCCTCGCGGACCTCGTGAGTCATGCCTCTCTTTACATACCACACACGCTGTGCTAACTGCTCGCTCTATAGCCCGGCTTCTACACCGCCTGCCACACCAAGGCGCAGTACGACGAGATCGGGCCGAGCATCTGCAGACGGTACCAGATCTTCGGCAGCGCTACATAAATACAATACGATATATCGATGTATACTGATACGGTCACATACTGGATGCTGTAGAATGAAGATCAAATCCGAATACCCTGTCGAAGCGTGACGGAGTGATGTCTCATGCAAGTACGCAGGTAGGGCAGAGTAAGGACATGCATAGTATGATGCAGGTGTTGTGTGAACAGTACAATACAACAGAGGAATACACATGTACGGACGAACAAATTTACAGCATACAGCGGGACATCGAAATCAGCTTGAGCAGCTACACTGGAACCCGATCATTTGCTTCTCTCCCATACCGCAGAACCGTCTCTCCTCCCTGACCTCCGGCTCCAGCTGATCATCCGGCGTCTCATCGCCCTCCGCGCCCCACGGCTCGAACGGGCTGCACGCCATCTACCCACGTCCAATCAACACCCCAATCCCTCACAACCACGAGACGAAACGCACCTGCAGCACCTTCGCGAGCACCCTCCGCCCGCTCTCCGCGTCCTGCTCGACCTTCCTGATGACCTCCTCGAGCACCCACTGCCGCAGGACGAACCGCGGGTTCGCCGCCCGCGCCTCCCGCGCGCGCTCCGCGTCGGGGTCCGCGCCCCACCGATCTCTTTCGCTCTCGATGCGCGCCGCGTACGCGCCGAGCCACGCCGTCCAGTCGCGCGCGGCCTTGTCGCGGTCCATGCGCTCCGCCTCGGGCGACTGGCTGAGGAGCGCGGAGAGGAAGGGGTCGAGGGGACTCTGTGGGGAGGCGGGGTTGGGATGGTCGCCGCCGCCGTTGACGTGCGCGGGCGGGCGGAGGAGCGCGGGGCGGAAGGCGCACAGCGCGCGGAAGGTCCCGTGGAAGTCGAGCTTGTGCTCCTCCATAATATCCAGCAGCGGGCGGCACAGCTGCGCCTCGTCGCCCGCGTCGTAGCGCCGCAGGCCCAGGCGCTGCATATCCAGCAATTATTCTCAACACCATCCGCAGGGGCTATAGTGAATGCGCACCTTGTGCATGAGCCTGCCGTACTCCCTCCCGCATTCGTCCAGGATGACGTGGTGCAGCTCGGCCTTGACGAGCTCCGCGCCGGCCTTGCGCCATTCGTCGACCTTCGCGTCCGGGACGTCCTGCGCCCAGCCTGGGCCGACGGCGTGCCCGAGCTCGGCTTCGGCACCGATGAGCGGCGCGAGGGCCGTCAATAGAGCCTCGGACGCATACATGCTGTGACGAACAGTGGGTATATGCGCTGGTCTGCGGGGTGGTACTTACATCATGCTTGGCTGGGCCTATGCGACGAAGGTTAGGAACGACGCTGGAAGGAGAAAAGGGTACTGCGTACCCGGTAGGAATAGCGCCCTTCCTCGTCGGTGTGGTTACATATATGCCACGGGTTGAAGACGTCCATGAACGCAAAGGGTCCTGCGGAGGGTCATGAGCGCCAGTCCAGTCCGGGGCGCGGCTTGCTCCTCTCACCGTAGTCTATCGTCAGGCCTAGAATCGACACGCTAAGCACGGCAACAAACGTCAACAAAAAGCAAACACCACGATCCCAGAGCGACCGAGCACGCACTTGTCCGTGTTGATCACGCCGTGCATGAACCCATACGCCTGCCACCCCGCCACCATCCGCGCATTCCGCCTCGCCACCTCCAACACCAGCTCCTTCCCCCACCTGCCCCTCTCCCCTTCCTCCAAAGTCAACCTCAACACCCGCCTAACCACCCACTCCCCCAACCGCCTCAGCGCCTCCCAGTCCGCGTCCTGCTGCCCGCCGCCGAGGAAGAACATGCCCGCGGGCGGGTTCAGCGCCTCGAAGCAGCCGACACGCACGAACGACGGCGCGGCTCTTGTGAGCACGCACGCGGACTCTTCGCGCTCGCGCTGCACGGGTACGGCGGGGAGGGAGATCAATGCGATGGAGCGGGTGGTGGGGATGCCGAGGGCATGCATCGCTGTGCGTGAGAGGGTAGAGGGTTGATATTGGAAGTGAGGGGAGGGGAGGGGGAGACAAACCTTCGGCGCAGAGGAACTCACGCACGGAGGAGCGCGTGACGGCAAGCCCGTCGGCGCTGCGCGCGAACGGGGTGCGGCCCGCGCCCTTGAGCTGCAGCTCGTACGTCGTGTCGGGGTCGGCCGGGTGCGGCGTCGCCACTAGTCAACGTAAATCACGGGTCGTATACCGGTATGGATGGACTCAACGAATGGAGACGGCGCGCCCGTCGCCCAGCTGGCCGGCCCACACGCCGAACTGGTGCCCGCTGTAGCGGAGCGCCCAGGGCGCGAAGGGCGTCGCGCGCTCGTCGTCCTCGCCGGACATGAGGACCGCGTGGCCGGCGAGGACGTCGACGAGCTCCTCGCGGATGCGCTTGTCCTCCTCCGCCGGTGCGGGGACGTCCTCGTCGTCGAACGCGTGCGCGAGCGTGGGCGTGCCGAGCGTCGCGAACGCGTCGCCGACGTGCAGCGCGGGGACGCAGTCGCGGATGCCCGCCGCGGAGAGGCCGAGGAGCTCGCGGGGCGCGTCGCGCTGCTCGGGGTAGTACATGCTCAGCGGCCCCTTGGCACCCGGGCGCGCGTGCCGCGCCTCGCGCGCGCCCAGCCAGCGCTCGACGACGGCCATCTTGTCGTGGGCGAGCTTGGGGTCGTCGGGCGGGGGGATGTCGTACGGGAAGGCGATGGGGAGGGGCGCGACGTGGGAGAAGTGGCATTGCGGGGCGAGGAGGCGCGCGCGGCGCTGGATGCTGGGGGTGCTGGCGAGGGCGGCGCGGAAGGCGGGGACGGAGGGCGTTTCGGTGTCCGGGGTGAGGTTGAGCGGGAGCAGGTGCGAGGCGGGGGGCAGCGGGAGGGCGGAGATTGGGGTCTTGGTCATTTTGAGGAGGGTGCTGCTGGCGAGCATGCAACAATACTAAGCAACAAGAAGAATGAGTTATGAAGAGATGTCATGCAATAGCGACGCACCTTTACACTGAAGCGACCCTCAAACGCTTACTTTTGCTTGACTAATCTCAGTGCACTTATAAACTCAGAGTTACTCCAGCGATCGCGTCATTCGTTCCCTTCACGCGCTCAAAGGTTACCCACAGCCGTGGGTCTCTGGTCGGGCGATCGATTACACGTCGTATAATCGTGCCCAACGGTCGTATAGATTGAAAGGGAAGCACAGCGTTCAGGGATATGCTGCTGCAGGACTCGGACGAGGAGGACATCCAAAAAGGGGAATGCAATCTTGATCATCTGACCGGCACGTGTTCACAACGCGACTCGGACGCGATCGACACCAGCACTTCGACCTCGTCCAGTCAAGCTGTGTAACTTTACTTGCAAATGATACACACATCGAGCAGTCAATCGGTGTAAGCCTGAGGTAATTGCATCTCTTCTCCATTCTCCATCTCATCACTGAATGAGCGCGAACGGGGGACTGACGTCCCCAGAGTCTCCAATCACTTGTAGACGTAAGTATGTCAGGACGTTCAAAACCTCCATGTACTGAGAGCCACTCACACACGACGCGCCACTCATTGCTAGCGGTGACGTTCGGAACGTCGAAGTAGACGTACCCATCCATGAGGGAGAAGCCGCTCGCCAGGGGTCCGGGGTCCTCTGGTATCGCACATCTACCGTCAGTGCGTACCAAAGCACAAGAGAACTAATGCGCACCGAAGAGTATCTCACCGTCCCACACCAGGTAGATAGTCCCGTTTGGGTTGGTGATGTGCGCGGGCGGGTTTGACGTGTCCCTGCGCGTTCATGTTCACGTTCACTGCGGCTGCTGTCAAAAGAATGCGGTGCGTACCAAGCAACCCAGTTAGACCATCCCACCTGCCAGATCGTGCTGTCGGTTGGGTACGTGATGGGCGGGGCCCATACATCCGCGGGGGCGGCGGTAGCATAAGGCGCCGTCAGCGCAGCCAGAACGAGGGACGCGGCGACGTTCAAGTTCACCATCGTAGCGGAGGCTCAATGCAGCCGACCGTAGAACAGGGGAACTCTGCGATGGAGGACACTACCGTAGAGCATGAGCCTTTTATATTGTCTCACCCCAAGCACCCTTCAGTGAGGCTTCAACCGGCGCCGAACGAACGGCCATATTCCCAGCCTGGGACGCAGAGGCGTGAGGTAAGTCCAGCCGCGATCTTAATCAGCTAGACGTTGCACTTAGACAGCGGGCAGACCTGTGACCCGCGGCGATCATTTATATCGCTATAGAACTTGCCAAACGTGCGAGACTCTCGCATCTGCAATAGAGGAGAGGTGTGGCCAATCCTTGGTGCGGCGCCGCTGCCTTTGGATATGCCCTGTAGCAGGTGCCCGAGGCATCGAGCCCATCAATGCGCTCCATGTGTATCCACCATCGAGTTCTTCGAAACGAAGAAAGGCTGGCCAACGCGGCTGGGTCATCTTACAAGTACAACCTCCGTAAAACCTATCGTCGCAGGGCGCCGGAGAGCTGGAGCGCCGCGTATGCGTCTCAACCACCCCGTCGGAATTCGAAGTCGAAGAATGCCAGTGCATCCAACGTAATCTCTTCGGACGTTCTAAGTTCGAGAGTTCCGCACTGAGACGTGCAGGCATGTCATCCAGCCATGTCAAGCATACAAAGGACGAGGGACATACCGGCCTTACGGAGATATCAATGCCACCACGCTCAGCTTCTCTTCGACCGCGAATCCCGAGGGGTAGGGGGTCTCCCACCGTCTTTGGTGCCTGCTCTATTGTCGGTGGAACGGCTCCTCGGCGGCCCAGAACCGCAGCGGGGGGTATACACCACGGGCGTAGATGTCGAGCAGACAACTGTACCTTGCTGCAATTACCAACAACCGTAGCCCCGCTAGGACGAAACTCAATTGCTCAGAAGCAGCTTGAGGTCACAAGTCCCGGCCCTCAGTAACGTGCGCAATTCAGAAGTGTTAAAAACCTGAATATCAGCGGACCATACTTCACACACCCCTGCTGTCCACAGTGAACATACGCAAACTAAGTCGGTCTCGGATTCACGCGTCGAAGGGTAAAATATGGTACATTAGGCAGAGACCATAAGGTAGGCGTTACACAGTGTCCTATCACTAATCGTAATCATGTCCGCGGGCGATTATCCAACACTACATAGATATAACACGGAAACGCATCAGCTCCGCGTATCACACACCACATCCCAGCACGCACTCACACAGACGAAGCAGACCCGGCAGCGCTCGCCGCACTACTCGTAGGCACCACCGTAGTCACGAGCGTCTCCGTCCACGTCACCGTGCTCGTCTGCGCCGTCAGCACCGTGTCCGACACGGTGTTGTACACGCGCTCGGCGGAGTAGACTACGACGCTCGAGCTGACCCGCGCGCCGGGCGCGAGGGTAGCGCTCCCTGCGAGCGTCGTCTGGGAGCGCGTGTGCGAATGCCGGTGACTGTACCCCGGCGCGTGTTTTTGCCCGGGGATGTGGTTGGCGTCCCAGTGCGTGCCGTTGTCATTCTTCTGTGGAGGGGAAAGGTAAGTTGAGGCACTAGAAGGAGGAGACGGAGAGGTACGGACTGAGGACGCCGCGGCCAGTGTCAGCGCCGAAGCAAGAAAGAGGATGCACTTGAGCTGCATTGGATCGGACTGCGTACAGAGGTCGATTTGGGGATTCTAGGTTCTTGACTGAAGCGCGAGCTAGATGCTACCTTATATGCGGAAAGACGCAGCAGGCCTGTGTTGAGATCCGGTTCCGGGATGGCGAACGATCTTCGGCATGTACGCGGTGCAAAGAGTAGATCGCGTAGTCCTTTAGCGTCGGAGGTTACTGTGCCATTGTTTCAAGCTTCATATCGCTGCGCCACTACTGTGACATAGTTCGGGGGGTTGTTGAGGGACCGTTGGGCGGTACGTGGCCCACGGATGGCAATGAACCTTGCATCCGTTGGGTATAGCCTGCGATCTATGAGCAAGTCATAGCCATCACAATGATGCGCCAGCGCGAGTTAGCGCTCCACTTCCGGGGCTTCATGTTCGCCGCCAAAAGACGAAGATAGCAAGTGCGCACTGAGCTCGCAGAAATGCCTTTCATGCATCCGGATAAACCTTGGTATATGTTAGCCACAAGGCAGCATCGCTCTATCGCCTGACACGCCTACCAGAATACAGCTCATAAGCAGAGCTTAGCAACAGCAGTCAAAACTTGGAAGTTGTGAGACGCAACGCAAGCAAGCCTGTGGGACTTGGCGGTCCACGCGGTCCTTCACGGACCTTTATCTTGATATTGTGGCAGAGAAGCACCTCGGGATCTGAGATTGGGCTCTCTCAGAGATGCTTCGAAGTTCGAACAAGCAAGTCCTCGGAAACATTTGCCACCTCTTCAACGGGAGTTGTATGGGACAGACAAGGCTATGATATACGTCGGCTTGTTCTGATCCTGAACCCGTCTTTTTCGTAGGTTTGACTAGCTGGAGGCTCTTCAATCCACCCGTGAATGAGGTTTAGGGCTCCGCAACATCATATTGCCCGTGCTCCGACTCTGCGCGCGTCTCGTCTTCATCGGCCACCACACACCGAAACATGGTCTCCAGCCTGGAATGGAGCGCTTTGCGTGGCCGTGTTGCGCTCGTACCGCCATTTTCTCTGCTTCTGCTCGCGATCCAGGCTAGCCAGTCGCTGTGCCCTCGAAACGATCAGGATGACGGCGTGTAGCCCGCCTTGCAATGATGCTGCCACATTCCGAGTCGGTGTCGGCTACTTTGCTGGTGCCGCTCATCTGTAGCAGGTGCTATCTGCGCGCCCCGTGCGTCGGTGGCGGTCATTGCGCCAGAAAGCCCCGGAAGAGACTTTGCCTCAACAAGCATTCGTGACTCGTCCCTGGACAACATCGTGCATTGCCATGGCCTGACTTTGCTATCCATAGGGTTGAAATGAAACATGATTTGACTAGCGTCCTGGAGGGGCGTTGTTGTGTTGCGTGTAGCGGCTCCGTACTGGCCGCCATCTAGATCGCTATCTCGCTCGACATTCTCATCCGTCTTGTCCTCCAAGTCCAGGTACAGTATATAAGGATGACCGCTCTCCTCAATCCTCATACTCCATCCCATCCTATCTCATATACGAATTCTTTCGGTACTTCCTCTTTTAATTCGGGTACCTTCTGTGTCCCGTCTATTTTTTTATAATGTACACATCCCTTACTGCATTTGTGAGCGCGCTGGTGCTTGCCACTGGCGTGCTCGCGAAGAAGCACGAGCACATTAGAGATCTCCAGGTCGTTAATAAATACATCGCCCCCGATGGCCATAATCGCTCGTACGCCCCTTTCCCTCCGTTTGATTGGGAACTCAATGAGCTGACTGCGCTTATCTAGAACTGTCCTTGTGGATGGCGTCTTTCCGGGACCCCTCATTGCTGGAGAGAAGGTGAGTGTACTACGTCAATATCATTCAATGTCGACTGAATTGTGCGATCACTTCCAGGGCCACCGCTTCCTTCTTAACGCTGTCGATAAGCTCCATGACACGACCATGGACGTGGAGACAACAATTGTGAGACGGCCCTCCTCTTCTGTCGTCTCGATCCCATACTGATGGTTTACGCATTAGCACTGGCACGGCATGTTCCAACATAAGTCAGCCTGGTCGGACGGTGTAGCTTGGGTCACGCAGTGTCCCATCGAGCCACAGCACTCCTTCCTCTACAATTTCACATCACCAAGGCAGGCAGGCACCTTTTGGTACCATTCGCACTTGTCGACGCAGTATTGCGATGGCTTGCGTGGGCCTTTGGTTATATATGATCCCGACGATCCGTACTATAATGACTATGATGTTGACGACGGTGAGCACAGACTCACATCGAATTCGGGTCGAGCGATCAGGACTAATTGCCCTATTATCACAGAGACGACGGTTATTACGCTAGCAGACTGGTGAGTGATGTCCAACGAGCGACTGTGGGTCCGCATGTCTTATGTGGTCCATGCAGGTATCATAATGTCTCCTCTCAAGAGCCCACTTTTCCGTAAGCATTGCACCAGACCAATCTATATGCAGTACAATAACACCGTGGTATCTATAGTACGAACGACGCTACTCTAATTAATGGGAAAGGGCGAACCGTCACGACCACCTATAATGGAACCGACTACCTATCCGAAATCGTCGTCGAACCAGGGTTGAAGTGAGTTGGATGACACGTATCGCTCATGAAGGCCCTAATAACAGCCTTCCTCATAGGTATCGGTTCCGTCTCATCAACATGGCTTGCGAGCCCTACTACAACTTCACCATCGCCGGGCATAAGATGACCATCATAGAAGCTGACGGAGTGACTGTGCATCCCGTCCGTGACGTCGACCAAATCCAGATTCATGCGGGTGCGGCTATTGGATTGAAACTATCTATGGTAGCTCACTGACATTTTGTCACCAGGTCAAAGATACTCCTTCATCGTGAGATTACCAGTATACCTCGGTGCTTATGACGTTGGGTACTAATCGCCTTGATAGCTGCATGCGAACCAACGTCCCGACAATTACTGTACGAGCCCTCTCTCCTCTTCTGTGTGTTAACATCTTAATAGCTTGTACAGGGATACACTCCGACCCCAACACCGGCAACACCATCAACAACAGCGATCCCAGTCTGAATGCCGCAATCCTACGGTATAGTTCTGTTCCCCTTGCGCTGCCAAATGCCACCAGGAACAATGCGACGCCGAACAAGCCGCTCGTGGAGACTGATCTTCACGTACGATCCCATTTCTGTATTCGCACTGTCCCATGCTGACAAGTATGCATATCCATCTTTAGCCTTTGCAACGCATGCCTGTTGTAAGTCGCGCATGATACGCTGAATGCTCATGGCTCATTCATCCGCTAGCCTGGACATCCTTTCCCCGGAGGTGTAGACAAGCGATTCTTCTTCAATATTACCTTCGTATGTGAACCGTGTCGCCTTCGGCTCTGCCTATACTGACTACTTCGCGGGTAGAACGCCACCGGCCCGAACGGCACCCCGAGCTTCGACGTTAATGGAACCACTTTCCAGAACCCTGAATTACCTGTCCTTCTTCAGATCTTGAATGGCGATCAGAAGCCGCAGGACTATATGCCGAAGGGCAGCGTGTACGACCTCCCTAAGCATTCCACGATTGAGGTTGCGTTCTACATGAATACATCGGCAGGGCCGGGACCTGTAGGTACATTTGCTTTGCTTGTTGACGCGTTGCTGACATGTCGATTGGTTCCATAGCATCCCATTCATCTCCACGGCGTAAGTCATGCATGCAACCCTACTCTCGTCCTTACTCTAATGGCGTTGCAGCATACGTTCTGGGTAGTCCGCAGTGCAGGCAACTCCTCATATAACTGGGACAACCCAGTCGTTCGCGACACGGTCTCCATTGGCAACGACCCCAACGAACTGACCACGATCCGGTTCAGGACGGATAACCCGGGCCCGTGGTTCTTGCACTGTCATATCGATTACCATCTTGCTGCGTAAGTCCGCCTCCTCCTCCCGTGCATGAGCTCGCAGTACTAACAAATCCGTTGGATATGACCCAGTGGGTTCGCTGTGGTGATGGCTGAAGAGCCCGACGAAGTGGCAGTTGCCAATGCCCCTATTCCCAGTCAGTATTCCATGATTCCTCCCTTGATGTGCAAAGGCCTGACCTGTTATTTGCAGAGGCGTGGTACGACCTTTGTCCGACCTCCGGCGCTTCGACACAATACAGGAATGCTAGCCTTTCTGGCATTAACGCCAGTTGAATGTCAAAGAGTGAAGCATGACACAATGATATTAATTACATGGACTTCGGGGACGCTTAACGTACTGTCAGCTAATGTGTATTTTTGGGGAATATGATAAATTGACGTCGGACGACGCCTTTCCTCACTCCATATGAGAGCAGTATAAGATGAACCTGACATGAGCGGGTGTACCCGACCCGAACACGGCTCCCTCGATAGCGGGGGACTCGTAATGGTGAAAGGTGCATAGCAGACCCTTTCTACTCGTGTACGCTCTTGGGCCGGGGGACGCCTTTCGTGGTACAGCGCCGTCGCCGGGACATGGATCGTCCATCCATCATTGGTGTAATTGATAAAGCGGAAATGCAAGAGTCTCCTTCGATCCTGGACAAGATTCGGCCGCGGGTCTTCGCACATCCTCCAATGCTGGGAATAAGGTGTACAATCCGACGTGGGCCTGTTGGTGAAAGATGAGTTTCTTCAAACGTTTAATGGGATTGGCATTATTACCTGCAGTGAGCATTAGTCCCATGCTCCCCCACGCGCACTCCTACTTTGCTTTTTTGTCTTTAAATGCATCTTCTGTTCGCGCCGCCTTCTGTTCTCCGCTGCTTCCAGTTGCCGAACACGCGCCTTCTGCGCTTCGGAAGGTTCTGTCTTGATCTCCTTAATTGCTGCATCCACAATAATAGCATGTAGCTTCAATAAAGCCCGTCAAGAGGAGAGAGACATCCGGGCGAAGCAGGTTCGGCGCACTTTAGAAAGACAATCCTCTACATTTTGCGACTGTGAGCGATGAACCGTGGAGGTTACAAGAATGGTATCACTAGAAGGAACATAGTGAGGCTTCAAATATTTTGATTGATCAGAACTGTGGCAACAATTGTACAGGAAGAACGCACCGACGCCCGTAAGGCCCTTTGCGCCCACGGGGGGATCCATGATTCCTTGATGGAGCATCTCACGGACGCCTTCGTATTGACCTTGTTGACGTTCTGTATATGTTGCACGACAAGTGATTACTGGTTCAGAACTACCCAGTACTGATGGGTATGCTTCAAGAGGCCTACCTGTCCGCCGGGGCCCGAGCTTCTTGCAAAACTGAGCTCCACCATACTGCGAGGTATAGTTTGCTGTTTAAATTGTTCCAGCCATTGTCTGGCATTGTTCATGTCCTCGCTCGTTTCAATGGCGTGAATGCTGGGTGGCTTTGGTAAGGTGTGAGAGTAACGTAGGATAGTAGTGGAGGGATAGAGTAGAGCAGATCGGGCGGTTGCGTAGACCCCATAGGCTCGCAGGCCGGTCAGTAAAAGCATGTTACCGTTATGATTCAGATAGATGAGGTTAGAGCTGAACTGGGATGCCCAACCCAATCTGTACATCTGTTGAATCCGCGAAGCCGAAGTTCTAGGAAGGCGAACCTTCTCACTCGGACGCGGTGTTGGGCCCCATCGGAGAATGCCGGAAGTCCCCAATTGGCCCGCCCTGGTTTCGCCACGGTTGCAAAGGAGTCGAACGAGACCGTGAGTGCCGATGAATGCATCGTCGACTCTCGCCCATCTGTCAGTGGTGAGCCTTCTCGATGGCTCCGTCTAGGCTGAATGTAACCTCTTTGCTCGTACCAACTACCAAGACCGAACGTTGCCAGTGATCAGCCATTTACTGATGACACTGCCATGAAGATTTTTCTACCGCACGACTCGGATGTGGCATCGAACCATAGTCAGGATGACCGGGACCAGCAGCGATCGGTCTCTGTTCTGACCGGAGGGGTATTCATCCCCACAAAATCTATGCCCGAGGCATTACTTAACGCCCGGGCTCTATTTCTAACAGCCCGAAGGCCCATCACTAAACGGCGAATAGTAGTATCCGGTGCAGTTGCTGGTGTGGTCAGAGTACGTCAATCCTACCGGATGCAGGGCCGCGAGCCTATCTAGACGTAACACACAGGTCTCTCGCTTGGCTTTCTTGGTCTCCGGGTGGTGTCCGGTTCGGTCTCCGCGCAATGTCGAATGTAATGACCCAGTCAACAGAGGGGCCAGGGCGCATCCTCTATCGAAGGGAATCGACGTCCCCGATCATAGGATTAACGAGTCAGCTGCTCCTTCAGAGGGCTATAAAGGTGGTGCAGAAGCCTCGAGACCGCGAGTATCACTTTCAACCTTGGCGTTCTCCCGCCCGTCGTTCACACTCTCTATCCCTCATGAAGACCGACGCCACTAACGAAGCCAGTGGCTCCGCTCTTAACGTGGCACCCGATGCTGAGGTAGAACTTCGCCGGATAACACGCGCTCTGCCATCTGTTCCATACGAAGGCCCTGCTTGCGATACAGCTGTGCCAGTGGATGGCGTAACTCCTTCCTTGGAGTCTTGGTCCGAAACCAGGGCCCTCAAGGCTCTCCGTATATTCACTTCTGGTTTCACTCTGTTCCTCGGAGGCTGGAAGTTCGCTATGTTCCAACCAATCTCAGTCTACCGCGGAAATACTGACAGGTGTTTTCTTGCAGCATGGGTGCAACCGGCGCCATCCTTCCCTACGTAGAGAAAGCCTATGGCCTGAACTATGCTCAAGTGTCTGCCCTTTTCATCTGCCAGTTCATCGGATATATCGGTGCAGCCTTCAGCGTCGGCCCTGTCTCCCGAAGAATAGGTCATGGTCCAACGCTCATCTTAGCCGTGACCCTTGGGATCGTTGGCGTATGTAGTGTACTTCTCTTTCTTGAATGCCAAATCTCAGACGCACAACAGAGCGTCCTGAATGCAGCGCAGCAAGTCAGCTTTGTGCCAATGTGCCTTGGCTTTCTCTTGTTTGGTTTCGGGTTTGCGGCTGAGGTAACTATGTAATGAGCACAGGTTCGGAACGGTCACTCACGCATTGCTGATCGTAGCTGAGCTTGTTCAACGCCTATTTCGCATTACTGTCGAAGCCGTTGATCTATACTGGCTTTCTTCACGGCGTATTCGGACTGGGCGCCTTCGCAAGTCCCCTAGTCGCGACTGCTATGGTAACGAGAGGAGCTCCCGTAAGTGACATTCGTGTCGTCTTCTAGAGTCAACCTCATCAGCGCCGTAACCAGTATCACTTTTTCTACATGACATGCCTTGGCATGAGTGTACCGACATTGGCCCTTGCGTGGTTCTCGTTCAGGAAACTCAGGTCCCTCCCGCAAAGGCCGGCAGATATCATATCCACCGGTCAGCGACATGGCCTACGCGAGGCTTTGAATAGCCGTGCAGTGTGGACCCTCGCGCTTTTCATGATGTTCTACGTAGGGTGCGTACGTTCTCAATTCGACCGTGACATCTGCTGTCTTAATAACATGAATCCGCAGAGCTGAAGAATCCATGTACGTAAGATTTATACGTCACATAGATGGTCACGTATGACGCCGGTTGTCTTCCTCACAGTGGTGGATGGATTGTGTCATTCGTTTTAAATGTAAGGCAATTTCGCTTCCGCGTCTCTGGGCTGGCTCACAATAGCTCTAATGGCAAGGTCCGTCACGGCTCCCCGCACAGCGCGTCATGGGTAGCAAGCTCCTTCTACCTCGGGATCGCCATCGGCAGAATGGTGTTACCAAGCTTGAACGTCGTCATGGGCGAACGGCGCGCGGTGTTCATCTACCTATCTCTGGCGATCGCGTTAGAAGCCGTGGGCTGGGCAGTACCCATCTACTCATCTACAGCCGTCGCAACCGCACTCGTCGGTGTGGCGATCTCCACTTTCTACACGGCGGGCATCGTCATGGGCTCGTACCTCATCCCGAGCCGGTTGCACGCCGACGCGTTCTCGCTCATGTCAAGCATCGGCCAGTCGGGGAGTGCTTTCTTCCCCTGTGAGTGTCTTCGTCTTTCACCTGTGGGTCGTCACATGCAATTGAGCTTTCACTTTCATCTTCATAGTGATTATTGGTATTATAGCCACGAAGAAAGGAATTTGGGTTGTTGAGCCCTTCGTCGTCGCTTTGTTCTGCGCGTCCGGAGTGATGTGGTTCCTGGCGCCGCGCAAAACTTTGAATTAGAGATAGAACCAGTCGGTCCGACTTGAGGCGGGCGTTTCACCGTCACCGTTCCCTGGAAGTACTACTAGAGGTGGAGAATCAGGTCAGATTCCACTTCAAACGTTACATTTCCTCTCCCACCCGCTACCCTATCAATGCTAGAATGCTTCGGTAGACAAATGTACTACTCTATAGACCTGTCATGTCGATCGTGGCTCAACCATGTATATACTCTCCCATGCGCACAAAATCGTCACCCCTTCTAGTGCACTATTGATCCGCAGTCAGTGGTGATTCTGCCTACGTGTATCTGCGTGCTCGCTCTTAGTCTCGTAGGCACCTCCGTGGCTGCTGCAAGACGTCGACCGTGGAAGACCGGCTCGCTTATCCAGTGGAAGCAAGGAGCGGTAGGTCTTGCGCGGCCAGACCGTGGATAAATAATGGCCTATATGTATGAATATATACAGGTATGGTACTCCGGACCCATGCGAGAACACGCCCTCACAACCGCGCGTTCTTAGGCATAGCTTTGATCGCCTGCCTCACTCCCAGGTCACCCAGCACATCCTCCGCACCACCCAGCAGCGAGTCGAAGGGAACTGTGCGGTGATACTGAAACAACAACGGTCAGTCTACGAGCACAAGCATTATACACAGGGTTCCACTCACGTGCTCGATAAAGCGACCCATGCCGGACTTGGTGATACCACGACCACCGAAGATCTGCACGGCGTCGCGCGCGGTCTCCTGTGCGCTACGCGTGCTGTACATCTTCAGGAGACCGATCTGACCTGCGAGCTTCTGCGCCTGCTCCTTATACGACTATCCAAGCCAATATGAGTGAATCACCGTCTGTAGTATTTGAACAAAGACAGACGAACCATGTTGTTCATCTGGTGCGTCAGATTCTCCAACCAATTCTGCGCGCTCTCCGCCCGAGCGATCATCGTCGCGAGCTTGCTCCGAATGACCGCCTGCGAACTGAGCGGCCGGCCGAACGCCTTGCGCTGGTTCACCCACCTGCAGAACGACGGTGAGCGACCGCATAGTACCAAACACCACCACCTACTTCATGCACTCCTCGACGATAAGCCGCTGCGTGCGCGCGCTCGCGCAGCACATTACCCAGCGCTCGTGGTTGAAGTTGCTCAGGATGACGAAGATTCCGCCGCCCTCCTGCCCGAGCGTGTTCTCCACGGGCACCTTGACGTTGTCGAACGTAATGTACGCCGTTCCAGCCGTCGTTGAGTAGCTCGTCTTGATCGGCTTCGTCTCGACGCCCTCCGTGCGCTCCACGAGGATCGCGGTGAAGCCATCCTGTGGGGATGTGCAGTCAGTGGCGTGTCGCGGGAGAAACTGCATGGGTGCACACCTCTGTTCTGCAGCCGACGGTGAAGCTTACATCCTGTTCAGATATACTCTAACAGGGCACAAGATGCGAATACTCACTAATCCGCAAACCTGCAGTCGCCATCAGCCTTTGCCCCGAAACGAGAAACAGAAAACCACTCACGTCCCGTTCGTAATCCATTTCTTCGTCCCGTTGATGATCCAGTGCTTCCCGTCGGGTGTTTTGACCGCCTTTGTCTGCAGCCCCATGACGTCGCTCCCCGCGTGCGCTTCCGAGATCGCAAGGCAGATGAACTTCTTGCCCGCGAGCACCTCCGGGACGACTTTGGCCTTCACCGCGGGCGACGCGAAGTGCAGCACCGGAGGCAGACCGATGATCGCACCGCCGAGGAGACCATCACCATAGCCGCGGCAGCCCATGCGGGTAAGCTCTTGGGTGATGACGAGCTATAGTTGGACGTTCGGAGAATGTTGCTGGGTAGTTGTGAAGAAGAGACTTACTTCGTGGAAATAATCAAACTAGAACGGGAGGATGGTCGATTAGGAAGCTGATTCATGTATATACTAGCAGACAAGTACCATACCTCTTCTGGGGTCACGATGCCGCCCATGAGCGTACGTCCCTCTAAATGCTTCCCTGGGCCCATTCGCATAGCGTGGATATTTAGCTTCCTATGTGAGAGGTTGAGCATCGTCCCTGCGAAGATAATGACTACCGCTACTCACGCCATCTCGTCGATGACTTCTTGACTTGGCCGCTTGTTGTCCTCTTCTCGTAGCTAAACACCCGATTTACATTTGGACGCCACGCATGCACTTCGAGTTACACATACCTGTGCATCAGGGTATATCCACTCGTCCACGAACAGCCTTATCGCCTTCTGCAACCGCCTATGGCTCTACAGCGCCCGTCACGCTCCGTCCATCAACACAAAGGGGCTCGCACGCACCTCTTTGAAGTACGGACTGTAGTACCCGTCGACCAGCCATGTCGGCTCTGCATACGGGACCTTGCTGAGCTCCCCATTCACTTTCCCGACGATGACGGGCTTCTCGTCCTTGATTGTCCCGATCTGCAGGCGCGCGTATTGCGGCCGCTCGAGGACCTCGTGCCTGTGCAAACCGTAGAACGCCTCCGTTGCGTCCTGGCCAGCTGTGTAATGAGGAAAGGTGAGTTATGGCTGGGTGCAAAGAGGAGGAGGGGGGCGTACCAATCTCGGGATCTGTCAGGACTGAGATTCCACCGGGGTGGAGGTTCTTGAAACGCGTAAGGTCATACACTTTCGCGTCGATGATTACCCACTATTGGATCCTTCAGTACACATCTCCCGTTCACTCTTTTCTGCCTACCAAGTCGCCATCACTGTTATGCTGTAAACAAGAATCAGCACTCCCCGTACACCGGTGAAGTCGTGGACGGACCTTCTCCACCTCCTCCCTTGTAAACACTTTCAGCTCCTTTGCAGCCATTCCGTCGTGCGTTTAGTCTAACGTTGAGAAATGCGTGGAAGAGGGAGAAGGGAGCTCGCAGGTTGTAATACCCCGAGTGCCGTTGGACAAACGGACAGTTATAGCTGAGCCACAGCATAATCACATGCGTCCGCCCCAGGACGGCAGCTATCACGTCGATCATGTATCCACGTGGGCTTCATTGCGTTGCGGGTCAGCTGCCTCCGGTCTTCGTCATTTCTTACTCTCGGGATTATCACAGGCTTGTAGACGAAAAATCGAATAGCTTTGTGTCCAATATATGTGGGTCGTGCAACTGCTACTGCGAAATATCTGTCTGCTTGGAATTGCGGGGAGCGAAGGGCTTCCATCATCAGCGACCGCACCCATCGGACATGTTTATCTCCGGCTATGATTAGCATGATATCCTATTGGGTCTGACATGTCCGCATCGTTGTGCATTGATACATCCCTGCCTTGTAAACACGCGTAAAAACAAACTCTGAGCGTCTTTTACATGTTCCTTCCCAACTCTCCATCAACTTCAGTCTAATCCAGGCGTACTCGCCCCCGACCCAGGTGCAGGCGACAGCACTCTCCTGGCTGGTTGGGCGGCGCCAGAAGGAGGCCCGCCGAACAGTGAGGACATGATGTCTCCAAACGGATTCACCGGCGCCGTGCGCGGCGGCGGGATCGCGAAGTACAGTGTCGAGATATCTTGCAGAGCCTGCAAGCACAACCCCCATTCACTCATCTATCAGCCATACCAAGAAGGGCTGAAACTCACGGCCCTGACCTCGCGCGAGGCCATCACCCCGCCCTTCGCGCCGTACGTCCCGCACAGGCGCACCCACGCCTCGCGCATCGTCTTGTTCTTCTCGCCATGCGCGCGCTGGCACGTCGCCACCGCGAGCTGCGCAAAGTTCAGGACGGGGTCCGTCGTGAACTCGACGCTGTCGGACCCTCCCGCCGCGTCGTCTCTGCGCGGGATGGTAAGCGGGGCGGGTTCGAGGGAGGAGCGGAGGGACGGGCGCGCGGAGAGGAGGGAGGTGACGAAGGAGGTGATGAAGGTGCGCGCTGCGAGAATGTTACCGTTTTGCAGGTACCTATTTAGTATGTCAGAGGGGTTCCGGGGATCTCGGGGTGGCGACTAGAAAGACGTACGGGATGACACCGCGCAGAGCGAAGAGTCCCGGTGGCGCGCCCGCTGCTGACCAGTCGAACATCATCTGTGCAAGGACACGTGCACTGTCGCGTTGGCCAGCGGCGAGGAGGTGGGTTTCTGCGGCTTCGAACTCTCCCTCTGCGTCGCGATCAGGAGATGAACGAACGGAGTTGAGACATCACGCACCTTTGTATAGTAGCTCCCCGATGTAGTGATTCAAGCTCTGGTCCCCTGCGGGACAGGGTCCATGCTTAGTGGACCATCTGATGACACCATTCAGTCCAAGAGAACGTTGGGCGGAAGTGCCGACACTTACGCAACGGCCTTGTCTATCGTCGTCTTCCGCCACGACCCGCCCGGACCCGTCAACGCAATGAGCTGCGTCAGCCTTCCTACACACTTGCATCAGTCGGCCACGACTCCTCCGCCCACACCCATCCCGCCACTCCACGTACCTCGCGACTCGTCGTTCACCTCCTCGCCCTTGCTCTCGTACACATCAAGCAGGAAGCCCGCAAGATCCGTCCCGCTGCCCTGCTGCCCCGCCTTGAGCAGCTCGCGCGCGGACTGGAAGAGCACGTCGATCGCGGTGTCGTACTGCCCGGCTTTGTTGTAGCGCGAGGCGAATGTGCGCGCCTTTTGGTGCGCCTCGTAGGCTTGCCCCTGTGCAATGAGAGGAAGGATTGCGTCGAGCGCGCGTTGGGATGAAGGGGCTGGTGGCATTCTTGGAATCCGGAGAGTAACAGTGTCAGGATTGATACGATGAATGGATTGAGGAGGAGAGGCGTGGGAGTTTGGGCATGCGGACGGGAGCCAATCACGGACGGGCGTCTATCGACAGGTAGCGCATTCGTTCCACGTCGCCCTCCTCCTTGCTCTTCCCGCTACACCCGCTCTACCCTGCCACCGACACCAATTCACCAGCGAACTCCTGCTTGTGCCCTCATATGAATGATGTGAGCTGCCTTTACAGTGGCTGATTTTACTTCTTTACTGACTTTTGAGTCCTTCACTCCGGACAAAGATGGGATCGCGATCAGAGGTGGGACCCACAAAAGACTGAAACAGGAAACTCTGTATATAAAACAGGTCGGTGGCTTCAAGGTATGGCAACACTCTTCTTATGCATATTCAACGCTGATTTAGTTTGTAGAATGTATCTGGGAGGGAGGAGGGAGGGGGGCAGGTCGCTCGACGGGCGCTAAAAATCGACAAAGGTGAAGTACAGCGAAAGGCGAGCGGTTGGCCCTTCGGTGTGTCTGTAGCGCAGCCTTAACTTTATGCATGCTTGTGCAGGTCCCTTGTACTGCGCTGGATCGTCGCTGCGGTGGAGAGCTACCTTGGACGTGCACCACTTCTTTACGGCTCTCCGACATATCCGCGACTTGCCTGGGCATTCCACCCCAGAGCTCCATGGAGACGAGCAGTTGAGATTGAGACCCCGTAACCTCAGTCGCCGCGAAGGCCAGGACCTGGCCGGCGCACCTCGGTGCGAAGGAAGGCACTGGAATCGGTCCTGATTGATGTAGTCGGCATCCATCGGTACTGGACTCCAAGGCATGTACATTCGCAAGAGGTGCGGATGCTGGGCGGAGGCAATGCGTACTTGACGCGGTCTTCCGACGGAGAAGGGTCGACCGTCGAGCGCCAGGAATCTCGGCGAGCAGTGTAAGTGCCACGTGCCGTCCAAGCTAAAGTAAAGTCTAACAGTCACTTTCGGTCGATACGCACACACCCCATGTTCGCTGAGTAGCGCACACCTTTCTCTCCATGTGAGTACTCGAATGAAATAGTGAGTTAGACACGAATCGATTGGCTGACGTCGTGTTATATGCTAGGACCCTACAAACAGTGGGGAAGAGATATCGATACAAAATCAGAAGAACAGACAAATAGAAGAACCATTCCAGCAATACAAGAAAAAGGACGACGAGACTTTCGGAGAAAGGTCCAACCAGGAATACAGCAGAAGACCGACACGAATTCCCCAACGTCCTGCTTCGTAACATGGGCAGACCAGCTGCACCGGCAGTATCAGAACACGCCTATCATTGCCTACTCCTCCTGGTGCTCCTCGCCTTCCGGGTCCTCGTAGTCCTCGCGCGGGAACTCCTCGGGGCAGCAATGCCACGGAGGGTGCCTCCCGAAAATACAAGCAGTCCCGAGGCAATGTCGCTTCAGCGAATCGCTGCGCTGGAAGAACTTTCCACACTTGCACTTGTACCTGGGCGGCGCATGCTGCGAGCTCATCTCGTGGCGCGTCATGTCGCCGAGCGACGACGCCTTGTGGCCGCAGCCGAACCTGCATAGGAGGAACCCGGACGGTTCCGCGCCGTCCCTCGACGCGGCAGAGGGCGCGGACCTGCGCTTCTTCGTCGGTGAGCGCTTCTTCGTACCCGCAGCGGCAGCGGCAGCACCCCTGCGTCCTTGTACCCGCCCGACGCGCTTGGTCGTCGTCGGCCGCCACTCGCCATCGTCCTGCGTCCCGTCGTCGCTCGGCTCGTACTCGTCCTCCGAAAAATCCTCGATCTTCCGCGCCGAGGACGACGCCACGGCGTTGGCGTTGGTGCTGGTACTGGAGTTCCGCCTGACCTTGACGCTCGGCTCATGCATGCGCATCGTGGGCGCCGTGAACGCCTTCCCGCCGCTGTACGGCCGGGACGCCTCCGCCCTGCGCTCCAGCGTAGAAGGCCCGGGGCCGGGCGTCGCGTTCATGTGTACCGGGGGCGGTCGAGCGGGAGTGGCGTTCGTCGCCTGCTTGGGCTTGGGCTTAGGCTTGGACTTGATCGGAGACTTGGTCTTCGGCTTGGCCGTGCGCTTCGACTCTGGCCTGCGCCGGCGGTCGCCGCCGTACGGGTGGTACCGCTCTGTGCAGTGCTCGAGCCTGGAGGGATCCGTGCCTGGGGTGGCGTTTCTCTGCATTGGCCGGGGTCTGGAGTCGGGGAGAGGGGAGAGGTTGGGGAGGGTGTAGTGCGCGGGGGAGATGGGCGCAGGAACGGAAGGTAGGGGTCGGGGAGTGGCGCTTCGCCTGCTCCTCGCGCTGGTCCCGTTGACACGCGTCGTCTTGCCTCCAACGGACTTGCCTCCGGTGTACTGCCTTGGGGTCGTGTCCTCGTCATCCGAAGGAACAACAACGGACGCCTCTCGTGCGTAGTAAGGGCTGGCATCGGGAAACCATGAGGGTAGCGGAGGGGGGGTCGGGGAAGAAGGCTCGGAATAGTACGGAGAGTGCAGGCTCCACGACTGCGGTGAGTCGTCGTACTCGTATGGCATTCTCCCCGGATACTCGCCGGTGATTTCGACCGATGGACTCCGCCTGCTGTCCTCCGCGTTCGCTGGTGCAGGGGCGGAGGCGATAGAGGCACCACTCCCACTTGAAGAATCGCCGGAGATCTGCAGCCCTGTGCTCCATATATCGCCACCATCCTCGTACGCTGACCTGGGCTCCGGAACGTAGTAGTCGGGGCAATTGAGGACGATGGGTGACACGGGTGGGGGTGGCGGCAGGAAGCAGATGTACCGGGGATTCACATAGCCCTGAAGGACATCAGCGTCGGCCAGCCCAAAGGCCCCGTCGTACTGTTCTCGAGTCCACTGCCGGTTCGCCGTCGCCAGTCGCAACTCGGGACAAAATTCTGCTATCAAAGTTGCTTGCGGCGGGGGGATGACTTCCTCAGGAAGACGATCCGTCGGTTGCTCCTGATCCTACGTCGAGAGCGACGCGTTAATATAGCGGTAAGTCACGGTGTGGAGGATACCACTCACTGTTGGCTCCGGATGGTTCATGTATGGTTCGTAAAAGTCGTCGGTTGAGGAGGGCACATCCTCAGGAGCAGCCAGTGCGCGTGTGGAATCCGCTTCTGGGACCTGCCCTTCATGCGTGGCCACCTCCTCGGTCGCGTCCGCGCCCTCGTTCGCGAGCTGACGCGTCGCCGTCGCCGGACTGTATGGAGGCGTGTGCAAGTTTTGCGCGTTCCGCTGCTGGGGCGATTCGTCGCGCTTGGTCGAGGTGGACTCTTGACTTGACTCCGTGGGCTGGGTGTTGTGCGTCGTGTCGGGCATAGTGTGGGTGGTTCCTACCATCGCGCAGAAATTCGAAGCGGTATATACGGTACGGGGGACAAAGGAGGTTTGTGGGTCCCGCCATGACCAAAAGTTCGCGCTTTGGCCGGTCGCTCCTGCCGGCGATGTATCGGTCTTTCATGTTGTTTATTTGGTTTTCTGCATTATTCCTATGACCTGACCGTCATGAGCCCTTTCGCCAACATGCTCGACCCATATTTTGCGATCTCTTGACTGTCTGCTCCTCTCCCAGTCCCATAGTACGAGCTACGCCACAGCGCTATAATGAGCTCGGTGGCGGGAACACGTGCGGAAGTGTCTATCCTAGGGAAGCTGGGAAATGCTGTGCGGTCCCCTCGTCCCTGGCTTCTTTTCGCCTCGAGAGCGCCCGGACAATGAAAACACGAGGCGATGGTGATTCCCCGAGCGTTTATGTAAGAGCTTGTCCTTGACGACCTTGTTCATGTTCTGGATCTTAACAAACTGACGCCCGACTTTGACCTGCTAGATTTGGGAGCATAATGGTGCAGAGGCGCACAATACAGAAGAGGGAACCAATCAGATGAAAGGTGACCCGTAGGGCGTAAGGCCTCGGTATACATGTGCAACTGCCATTCCGGTGAGAGGTTCCCTCGACGCTATACTGCTGCACGGCGGAGGACTAGCGAAGGCTGGTACGATATACACTCCTTGACCTCCATGACTGACAGCCTAGTAAATGCAGCTATAGTACTGTCTGATCTACACTCGGTCCGAAGAAATTGCAGCGACCGCAAGCGGCGCGCAGATAACTTTCAACGCCATCCACGTCAATTCAGATCGTCGCGTTAGTATCGAGCGGTCGCGCTTTCCGTCCTCTGGTATGGGAACACCCATAGCACACTTGCAAGCTCACAAAGAATCTATCAGTACTTCCAAGTGTCGCGACATCGATGAGCTTTCACCTATCCTGAGGAAAGTAGAGGGAAAGTCGAATCGGTCTAAGGAACCTTCACTTACGTTAAGCCGGCATCTGTGCACCCACAAGCACCCACAAGCCACGCTAATCTGGTTCCGCATCTCCTGCTGGTGTATATGAAATGATCCGCACTCCTCTCGGGCAACGTAGAGCCGAGCCACCGTCCCCTTTCTATCAGACTCCCGCATGAGTTCCCCTCGTCCCCTCCCGTGCGCATGCCACCAGCATACCGTGCCAGCGTACCTCACTTGCTTGATCGCATATTGAGGGCCATCGTGATGTGATCAGGCAGCTCATCCGACGAGGGCCCTATTAACCTTCTCCGTTCAGGACCTTTGCCCTTCCACCCGCTCGGGTGTGTCATGGGCGTGTTCTCGAAAGCCAGTTCTTAGATATATTTCGATAGCTTCACTCGCGAGATCTCCACGTCGAAATCGTTGCGTCAAGACGTGGGTGCATAGACGCCACGTAGAACCGACGTGGCGGACAAGCAAAGATTTGGCGAATGCCTTCCGTTCGATCCTCACTCCTATCCTAAATGCGACGATTGTACGTTCTTGGTCTACAGGTACGGTGAACGTCAGGTATGTACTTTCGGCCTAGATTCCAAGTGTTTCCCTCGATACTTTCTGCACACTACCCATTCCCCTCACCCTTTTGTCATTGATTTCGTTGCGGACCGTCTCTCCTCCAGTCGCTTTACCGGAAGCGAACTCGGAGCATTTCCTCCCCAGTTTCAAAACTGGGCGTTCGACTTAATACCCTTGGACAGGATAAGGTAAGATAGGCCTACCTTGTGCGGTGCGTGACAAGGTACTAGTATGGAGCTATGTCCTGGATGTCGTGCTGCCGTATGATGTCTTTAGAGAAACCTCCCAGGTCGGTTTCATGAAGTATGTACCGATACATGGGACGAAACCTATAGCTGAAGACAGATACTTATTGTTAAGAAACGCGATAAATGTCGAATGACCTTCAAGTTCAATAGGACAAGAAATATTTGCGTCCGCCGCATTGATAGTGGGTTTATGAGCAGAGTTGATAGTTTGACCTCTAATTCAATGGTGTTAGCATAACCTCCAATTTCACGTCTTATGAGTTGCATAGTCACGGGAATGTAACAGCTTAGATGTTGATTATGTTCGGTTCAGCAGAAGCTGTGGCGTTGAGTCGGACAAAAAGCCGTGGCCAGGGTTAGGTCTACCCTATACGAACTCTCTAAACACTATGGCCACGAACGACGAAGGTATTTCTATCGACCTGCAAGCCCTTCGCAACTTTCGGCTGGAGCGCGTGCTCGACGAAGGCGAGTGCCTTCCACCGGCAGCAGTCACTCGGCCAATCTCAGGGCGTCATAGATCCTGTCACCCGCGCACTCGCTGTCTTGGGGTCGCTCGCCAGTGATGATGGTATTACGGTTGACGCGATCGTGCGCATCGAGAAGACCGCGCTGCCTCCCCAGTTTGCGACGACCTCTGGACTGAGCGAGAGCCTAGGGCGCGTGGAGAAGGTAGAGCGGAATGGAATTGTGAGTGGATCTATCCCGGGAGCTTCCCTTCTGCTGGGACCAGCTCAGTAGGCTTGCGCATGAGGTGTAGTACTCTTGGTTTATGGCTTGGCTCAGTGACGCTGCGCGCTCGAACCCGGACTTGAAGATCAATATCATCGCGCCTTGTACGGAAGTGCACATCCGCAAGGTATCCCGCCTCCTCTTGCCACCGCGCCTCCCTCCCTCATGTTATCTATGTAGTACTCTCGTCAACAGATATTGATGGTACATGAAACACCAGCCCTCTACACTTCTATTGTACAGCCTTACATCGCTGCATTCCCCTCCTCACGCACGCAGTGGTCAGCCGTTTCCCCTGGGTACCCATCCTATTCGCTCACCCGCTTGCGTTACTCTCTAAAGGGTTGAAGACATATTGTCCGGAAAGTCGGAAGCCGACAAAGTCCTCCATCGCGACCCCGATCCTGAGTACGGCTATGTCATGCTCCCCGACATGAAATGGGACCTGCGTACGCTCGGCTCGCTCTACCTCGTCGCGATCGTCCTGTCAGCGGACATCAAGAGCCTGCGGGATCTCCGCAAGAAACATCTGGGCATGCTGAGGAGCATCAGGCGCGAGGCGGCGCGCGTCGTGCAGGAGCACTGGGGGCTCGGGCGAGGGTCCTTGCGGCTCTACGTGCATTACCAGCCGTCGTATTGTCAGTATATCTCCTCCCTCCTTCTGATGTGTCTGTTTGAGGACGCGTTGCTGATGCTGTTCTGGACAGACCACTTCCACGTACACATTGTCAACGCGAACTACGCAGGACTCATGGGCAGCACCGTTGGGCAGGCACATCTGCTCGATGATATCATCTCCATGGTCCGTTTCGACCTGCCTCCCTTCTTCCGTACCAATATCACACTGCTGACTCGCGATCATTGTTCCAGCTTGAAACTGACGTCGAACAGGGTCCCTCAATATTCCAGCGGCTTACCCTCACGTATGGGCTAGGCGACCAGCACGGATTGTATGAGCCAATGATCGCTGCCCAAGCGGTCGCGGAATTGTAAGGAACAATATATACACTGCTGTACATGCTTCTGTATAAGGGCTAGATCCAAGAGAGTACACGTCGGATTGCCGGCGATATAAATATATAATGAACAACCAAACCACCGGAGTTCAAGAATAGTGAAAGTCCGTGGCGACAGCTATCAAGCGCCGAAAATGTGAATCGATATGTGCATGTTGCTTGTCGCACCAACAGATTCGCTGTCCGTCAGCCCTCGCATCCCCGCATAGCGCAAATTCAAGATCATGTTGTCCGTCAGGATAGCCGGAATGATCACCATCCATGTATACGGTTCGGTCAGTCCGCTCTCTATGTATGATAGGTTGAGGCCCACGCCAATGGCCATAGTGACAATGACACTTAGGATATATGTGAGCAGTGCTCGACTCCCTGTGAAGTACCAGAGACGCTCTACGCACCAAAGATAGTACCACAGTGTGTCCCTCGTTAGTATGAACACCAGTCTTCCACCATAGCCCCAGTACGCTGGAATACCCATCCCGTGGCGTGTCTTTGAATGCTGGACTGTTTTGTATAAGAATAGGGAAAGCATGAAGACGTCAAAGACTAGAGTCGGTAAACTACAAGCAAATGGTAATGAGCACTTAAGTATGAGATGTGCGCTGAATCAGGACCCACAAGGTGAATCCCAGCGCGTTTGACATTCCACCGGAAGTATTTGATAAAATCAAGTATAGCGTGCCACCCAGTTCCGCCGCAAATGCAATAGATACAAGTGCAATTATGCCGCGACCTGTAGCATTCAAGATGTGGCTTCGCTATGCCAGTGCGACAACTTGAAGCCACGCACGATACTCAAAGAAGGCGTGCAGCCTCATTTGCAAGATAACTAATTATAGGGAGCTCAGTGAGAAGAAGAAAAGATCCTAACATTGACTTACCTTCGATGATTGTGACCACCATGACGCCTGCAATATAGTAGCTCCGCTTGTCAATGCTTGACAACTGGATGAGCTATTATGAAGTAACCTGCTAGGCCCAGGGGATACTTGACACCTATTTACGACCGTTGCCATTAATCAAAGCTGACGATGCCCGAAAGGACGTACCATTGTATATCATGAACACGCTCTGCATAATACCTACAATCGTGTGCTGCAGTTTATCAAAGCCATCGAAGGCCATAGCACATACCATTCCTGTCAACAAAAAGTTCGGTGATCGTGTTCGGCCCTAAAACCCTGCAGAATTCACGATGAGTGGGAGTGGAACAAAGGAGGGAGAATCAACCTCTCATCTACGATATCGGAGAAGGCGAGGAGGATAGTTATGATGGAGTATCCGAGGCCTGAGTACCGGTTCTGAATGAGGCTTCGTATAGTGGCCTGTGTAAATGAAGGTGTACCGAAGTCAAATACTCACGAGCATATACATAGCCTTCATCCATGTCCACTTGGTAGGCTACGCACGGAGTCATTTACTGGTTGAGGATCGCAAGAGAAATTAAGTGCGCACCCACATGACTTCCACCTGCAAAGCACAAGACCTTAGTCCCTGCACCCAAGCTGGAGCGCCAATGGTATACTACTCACCTCCAAGGGAATAGTTGATACTTGATCATAATATTCTGTATGTCAGAGCGGAATCACAGGGCATGTACAAGGAACCGACGTACAAAAATGACAGAAGTATAAGGACCCGAAAGCGGCTGCGCAGGAAAAATTCAGCATATGGCAACCATTTAACATGTACGTCGCTTACAGGCCAAATACCTTGTTGTAGACTCCTCCGGCAGGGTAACAACAGATTCCATCAGGTTAGCGTACGGGGTGAGAGGAAGATGAGGATGCAGCGGGAATGGGAGGGGTTTATATATGGTAGCTCAGTTGCACAGTTGGCAGTGCTGTGATGTTCTCGTGGAAACCGAAGTCAGGTAATGAACGCAATCATTGTAGATACAACGATAAGGAGGTCCCCATCGCCATAATACAAATGACTCACATCGACTATAAAGCTGTAGTGATTCGTCCATCTACAACAGTCGCCCTGATGCTGTCAAGATTGCTTTAGAGTTCAATAGCGACACATGTGCCAGTGATGACAGGAATAAGTGCTCCTCTATGACGGACTTGCAGTGACAGGAGTCGGACGTTAATGACGTAGAACAAGGTTTATAACGCACCAGAAGACATAGCAATGACAGGAGGGAAGAATGTGGCGCCATGGGATCATTTCGGCAGGACCATAACCGCGCCTCAGGGATTTAATCAGTGTTTCTGTCGGCCATCCGGATGAGGACAGGTAGTTGTGTTGGAACCCAAACATAGCCGACCAACCAGGACAGTCCGGTAGTACTGACCGCAGAGCGAGGAGTATGACGTCCTGTATGCACTCTTATTTCGCCCAGAGTGCTCAGTTTGTTGCAAAGACAGTAGCACGCAACACTAAATAGAGTAGCAGGTAGCAGTAGACAGAGTAGCACGCAGCATGTACCAGGACCATGCTGCAGATTCCATCGCCACGATCGTCGTTCGATTCGGAGAAGCCGAACCCGGGGCTGAAGATAGGAATAGGTAATGAAGCGGGGGAATACTCACTAAGATTCCGCGTCCCCTTCCCATTGTCTACTGGTACGCTTCGACGAGAGTTCAACATGATACAATCAATAGAAAGCCTTTGGAGGGACAGCCTGTGAGGCACGAAGATTCGGTGTAACGAGAGGGATACGGAGGCAAGATAAGTGTACATTAGAGTGTATTCGCTGTGGTAATTACCATAGTGTGGAGCGGCCCCCAACCAATCAGATCGCTCAAAAGCTTCGAACTTCCCTTACCTGGCACCTCCACCTGGATTAAGAGGAAATGATACCGCAATAAATGTGGTCCAAAGTCAGATCATACCGGAGCACTGCACACGTTTGTATACAGTGCTGCTGGTGGAATAACACCTGGTCCGCATCCAAGACCGCTAGACCCTGGGAACACCGCCGACGTCCACTCTGACCTCAGTGTGCGTCCAGAATATCGCCTGGGACCGCTAGTATACGCTTATCTAGGTATATAGCGGGGTAAGCCTTAAAGACTACCAGACGGGACTGCTGGATTGCCAGCGATTAGTCGAGCATGGCTGTATGTGGGAAGAAGCGAACCCTTGAAGCCACAAAGCGCGAAATGTGGGAACCTGGCCGATTGGTAGGAACTTGAGCCGGAAGAAGCCATATCATACTAGTAATCTAGTGGCTCCCGCTCACGTTCACGTTCGGGCTCGTGGTTCAGAGCAGCTGCACCACAGCGAAATAAATGTATAATAAATACCCAAACTGTAAGAAACCACGAGGAACGAAGTATCAAGGACGGAAAATGTGCATTGATATATGCATGCTGCTTGGCAATTCATCGGGCACGCTCTCCGGCAGCCCGCTCATCGCAGCATGGCGAAGATTCAAGATCATGTTATCCGTCAGGATAACGGCAAGAATTATCATCCATACATATGGCTGATCGCTTGTGGATGCAGGGAGTACGAACATGGAACCGGCTGCGAGTGTGACGATCATACTTTAGATGACATGTGAATTATGGAGTCTCTGTGTGCGCGGTGATTGCAAGCACGAAAATCCACGTACCAAAGATAGTACCATAAGGTATCCCTCGTGAGTATGAAGGCTAGTGTTCCACCGCGGCCCCAATATGCGGGAATGCCCATCCTTCTGCGCGTCTTCGAATGCTGCACTGCCTTATATAAGAACAGGACTGGTGAGAAGGCGTCAAACAGTAGAGTCGGGGAGCTCCAAGAATCTGCATCGATTAATGAATATTTTTAGGTGTTCAGCAGGACTTACAAGACCGACTCGATGGCGTCTGGTGTCTCCTGCTCCATTGCGTAATTGGAGATCACCGCATATAACGTGTTGGCCAGCTCCACCGCAAATGCTATAGAAACAAGTGAAACTATGTTGCGACCTGCCGCGGATAAGATATAGATTTCCCTCGAAACAAAAGCCACTTACTGTACCCAAAGAAGGCATGCAGTCTCATTTGCAAGATGACTGAGTTGCACGTGCTCACTGAGTACAAAAGAAGATCCTGTCCATTGCAACTGTATACTTGCCTTCGACGATTGTGATCATTCCGAACCCTGAAAATTAGTTATTGTGGACTGTCAGTTGCTTGCAACTGAATGAGCACCAGTGATGAATTGACCTATTAGAACCAGCGTATATGTGATACCTAGGCACGACGGTCATGGTTTATCAACACCTCAAGGGTCACACTAGATACCATTGAGGGAGACAATGTCACCGGGGCCCCGTGTTCCACCTGAAAGTCTTCACAGTATAATGAACGACAAGGTCACAAAATAAGGAAGTGTCCTAACTCCATCGCTATAGTGTCAGAGAAGACAAGGAGCATTGTTATTGCAGAGTAGCCAAGTCCTGAATATCGGTTCTGAAATAGGCACCTTATAGTTCATACCTAGGGAAAGGTGCAGGGAGGGCCAATACTCACCAGCAGGTACAGAACTTTCATCCATGTCCACTTGGTAAACTAAGCAAGAAGTGATTAACTGGTCCCGACGGGTGAGGGACATTGGCTGTGCACCCATACGACTTCCACCTGAAAAGGACAATCATGATGCCGTGTCAGCCAAATCTCCCCCAGGGGTCCCATAGCGCACTTACCTCAGAAGGAATGGTTGAAACTGGATGGTTAATTTTAGTACTTCAGAGCGCGATTCTGGGCGTACCCCATGAGGCGTGTGACGTACAGAAATGGCAAAGGTATACCGAGGCGAAGGCCGCTGGGTAGGGATTATCAGCGCTGGCAGCACGTCCGGATCCATAGATGGTCATGCGTCCTTCTGGGTACTGTACTGGGGCGATAATAAGATATGAGGCGTTGGTCGGATGTGGAGAGGCTTGTATGGTTGCTTATAAGGCAGTGTTAAGGTCGTAACGCGGAGGCGACGTTCATGTGACTAGAATAGCAGCGCGACTGCCGGAGTCGAACACCGAAGCCCACCAGAATGGAGTTGTTAGTACCGTATCCGATTCATAGAGATATAATCTGTGCTCCTATCTGCCTGTTTGCTCGATCTAGTTCATCGACAATTTGTCGCAGGTCTGAGCATCACGACTTCATCAGTATTTCGACGCTCTTCATTTCGACGATCCCGAAGTCGGCCGGAACTTAGTGGAGGGGATGTCCGCCCAAGAAGAGCGAGTGTACAGGAGAACGGAGCGATCTACCTGCGCGCTTCTTCGAGAATAACACATTGTGATACATTTATCTCCGAAGCACGCGAGAAAATACAGGCCATATTTGTTGCACTTCTGTACACGTCATTCCAAATTTCGAACCGTCGACGGTGAGGGCGATGCGTACTTCCACTCGTAATCCAAGCCTTCATCAGCTTTCGTGGTGTCTCCCGTCATGAGTCCGTTCTCTACACTTCTCCTACCCGTTTGATTACCTTCCCCTTTACGCCAGGTAACACAACCCGTTCGTTCCGCCTCCAAAATTCGACTATAATCTCCGCTATGCGCATCGGGTCATCCTACCACAGCAATCCACAGTCAGCATAACAATTCCACCTGAAAGCGGAGCGCATGAGTTTACCTCGTGTACGACGTGCCCAACGCCACCGCCAACGACCTCGAGCTGGAATTTGCCCTGCATCTGGCCGATCATGAGCTCCTTGTCCAGTCTGTCCGTCCCCGCGAGGATGAGCAGGCGAGCAGTGCGAGTCGCGAGGAAGCGGGAGGAGAGGCCGGTAAACCAGTCTGATTGTGACACCGTGGACGTACGCCGTCATAAAGAGTAATGGAATGCGTGGAGACAGTAGAAATTAAGGGGGAGTGAGGTGAATAGCTCAGAGCCACGTACTTTCCCAATATGCGCCAGTGCTCCTCAGCGGCGTCCTCCACACGTACTTCTTACCTGTCTCCTCGCTCGACGGCACTATGATGGAAGGTACGGATACGCGTGCTGATGTCGGGTTACGGATGGAATGCGACTTCACACTTCAGCGGCGCGATTCAATGGTAATGACCGGGTATAGGATAGGTGTGGCGCAACGGGGTCGCGCGGAACGGATAAACATAAGCAAGCGGTAGTGCAAGTGTGCGAGAGTCGTGAGGTGAGATATAGAACACGAGGGAAGTGCCCTCGGGAGCGAGACAGGTGGACAGAGTACTCACTGCCATTCTATCGCCTCTTCGACACTGTCGAAACCGTCTGGACGAGCGTTCAGGATGGAGTTCATGAAGGGAAGAGCTTCGAGGGCGGTGCCTGTAACGCTGCATGAGCGTCAGGAAAGAATGGGGAACCGAACTCGGGAAAGGAGGGGCGAGAAGAGGGAAGGTAGCACAGCACTGAATGTCAGAGGAAGGTGTGGGATGGAAGGTGTGGAGAGCCGAAACAGTATGCAGAATTCGATGTGGTCGAGACATAACACGCCAGTGCCGCAAGAGATCCCGTCCATTCGAGAACGGATGCCCAAGATCCGCTTTCCGATGGCCCAGCAATTTATATTGAATATCAGCGTTAGCTTACCTTCGACGACGTCCAAGACTGCCACACCCAGAACAGAGTATCCAGCGGCCATGATCTCCGGGCAGGCTTGCACCACGACAGACCCGCCCATGCTATGACCCACAAGCTATGGAGAGCACCACCTTAGATGTACTGCCGCGTACAGAGGAAGTCAAAGCGGTGCAGGTCGCCGACCAGCACTCACAAGTACAGCGGGTGCCTTCTTCGAATCAGGGAAGACAGTTTGCAGTAACGAGACGAGATCCACAGCAAGCACGCCGACGGAGAGATCCTCGTCAGACGCATTGTCAATCGGGACCGTCTTGCCTATACCTCGTCGATGCCGCGTCAGCGACGTAAGGTTCAACACCACTCACCATGCCTTCGCGCATCCAGCGCCAGTACCCCGAGCGCACCCCGGCTCAACGACTGCACCTCCTTCGCAAAACATGCAAAGCTCAGTCCCGAGAATCCCGCACCGTGGTGGCACACGAGCACAGTCCCACTCTCCCCGTGCTCATCCTCGGTAGCAGACTTGGAGCTTTTCGACGCCGGAGGCGTGTAATAGACCCGAAAGTCGAGTTGTCGCGATGGGACCGCAACCTGGTTGGCGGAAGCAAAGTAAGACGAGGCAGAGATAGGTGCGAAGGCGGGGTTGGGGGATTTGGCTTTCGCGGTGGATGCCTTCGAACGAGGACTGAGTCTCGGTCAATGCAAGCAGATACTAGCGGCGGTATTGGCAACGCACGCAGCGGGCGGTCCCATCCGACCTGGAAGCGCCCCGATAGAACTCTTCGCCTCATCCTCTTCATCCACGTCCTCCTCTTCACTGGCATCGCTCGGTAGCTGTGGTAACTTTGATATGCGCGCTTGAAGCGCCGAGCGATAGAGGTTAGACATATGGTGTAGGTCTGAAGAACTGGACTTGTATCAACGATTCAGAGTCAATGGCCTTTCGCAATGGGCAACGCGATGACCCTTCTACTGGTTAGAAAGTCGACCCGCTTCTCACGTACCTTGACAATGATACCTCTTGAATCTACGTCAATCACAAGCAGAGATTCAAAAGTGCTCTCGGATTTCGGTAGGCTGAGTACTTAGAAAGGATCCAATGAGAAGGGCGCTGGGCCGATCGGTAGAAGCCGGGATATCGTAGCCTTTCGTTCGATAGTCATGGGTTGCAAGTTACAACAATCCATCAACAACGTTTTGGCAACAAGTTCAATGAATGCATAGTATCTTCCGTTCCACATTATTCAGTCGTACATGCTTTGGTAGTTCCTCGACCCGGCGGGAGCTTACAAGCTAGATTTCGCGTCCGCAAAAAATCGACCCGGTGCGTAGTATAATTTCGGCCCACAAGCGCGGCTTCGAAATCATTCAGACCCCAACCCCCTTCTTGATTTGACATTTTAACATCACAAGAGAGAATCTCTTGTCAGTCGACACACAGCGGGCAAGCACCAATGTCCCACCACCGGACATTCATCATTCATGAAATAGGTGGGAGAACACTTTCCTTGCATGCTTTGAAGTGGGACTTGGCAGAGACATAAAGAATGAGAGAACAATGTCAATCAAATGTCCCCTGACTTTTAGAGGGCATAGTAAATGTCCCGCTGACCTGCCTTTGTTCATTCAAAGGACATTCTCCATGTCCAGGTCATGGTCCAACAAAGACCATTCTAGGAAAGTGTTCTCCCCACCGGGGCATGTTCATAGCATGCTCGCCGGCGGGACATCGGTCTCTGCCCGCAGTGACAGGCTGAAGATTGATGGCTCCCGCAACCAAAAATTGGGCATGGCACGTACAAATACCAGTCATTGCAGTGTACACTGGCAGGTGCATCTTCCATCGCGTATGCATTTTTCGGAGGGTTACCCCACTGGATTTCACCTATGGTAGATATCATAGGCTCCTGGACAATGGATGGTGTCAAGAGAGTCTACCTCCCAGACGGACTCGCATGACAGGTAACATGAATATAATAACAAAATACATAGCAAATAATCACAGGGTACACGGTACCACCGGAAAAGAGTAACAAACAACAGGATGGATTTTGTCCTCTATACAGCATTCAAGCGCCGAAAATGTGGAATGAAACGTGCATGCTTCCGGTAGAGGTGTCCGAGTGAGCGTCCGCTATCCTTCTCATCCCCGCATATCGCAGATTCAAGATCATGTTGTCCGTCAGAATAGTCGGCACAATCACCATCCATGGATACGGTTCATACTGGAATGACAAATTTATGTCAAGGTCGAAAAGCACGCCGCTTGCAGTTGCGGCAATGACACTGCAATCAGGCGTGAGTTGTGGACGAACTCGGAGAGTAGGACCACGGTAAACAATTAGTGATATACCCACCAGATATAGTACCACAAGGTGTCCCGTGTCAGTATGAACACCAATCGTCCGCCATAGCCCCAGAAAGCCGGCACTCCCATCCCGGTTCGTGTTTTTGAGTATTGAACTGTTCTATACAAGAATAGGAGCAACATAAGGACGTCGAACCCCAGAGTGGGCAGGCTGAGACACAACTTCCTTCAGCCTAAGCCTGATACTCATGATATTCTCACAGACTTACAAAGTAAGTCCAATACTGCTGTAGCTTGCAACCCAGGTCTCATGGCTGGATGGTATTGAAAAATACAATGTGACTGCGAGTTCCGCAGTGAATGCAACAGACACAAGGAAAATCATGATTCTGTCTACATCACGTCAGTATTGAGTTTGCCATGCAGCTGTCTCGCTTACTGTAGTTGAAGAAAGCATGCAGCCTCAGCTGCAAGATGACTACATCATTGTTAGCACAAGCCAAACAGGAAATTAGATGCCATTTCACCTTCAATGATTGTGATAACAACGAGGCCTGCCAATACAGAACATGATTCATACGCTGCGGATAACGAGATAATCACCCTTGAACAAACCTGTCAGGCTGAGCGGGTATCTGGGATCTAGCCATATTGGTTACACCTAGTCAAAGTTATCGACACCTTGGTGCCCAATGTCTTACTTACTCGTATCATAAATGTCACTAGATTCGACCACAGCACTATCAAGTCTGGACAATCTATGATTAGCAAAAATCACAAAACATTGGAATAAGACTAACTCCACAGATATGGCGCCGGAGAAAGCCATAAGGCTTATGATGAGCGTGTATGCAAGACCGGAGTACCGATTCTAGATGGGGAGCCTCAATATGTTCTTCTGATTGCGGAGGAAGACAGATAATCTTACCATGAGATACAGCACTTTCATCCATGACCACTTGCTTGGCTAAGGAAACAGTCATTGATGGAACCAAGGGCCAAGAAGACCGGTGCCCACCCACATAGCTTCAACCTAGGTTGGATAAACCTGTTTGAGCAAATGCCACAGGAAGACGCAATGACGATATCCTGACCTCCAGTGCAAAAGTGGAACCTGAGGCGACTTCACATGTCAGAGCACGGTGATATGCACTGACACACAACAATCACCAAGGACCAAAAGAAATAAACCTAAACCCCGTGATATGGGTGAAGGCGGTCCGAGACAACTGAAGGGTATTTAATAGTTCGAGGGGGAAAGGAGGAGTAAGACGCCGTAGGGTAGTCCGTAGGAAGACCTAGAAAAATGAAACAAAATCTTGATGCCTGAAACAAACACTAATGGACGCTCCGGAGTATTTATCTCCGAAAAGTCGCAAACAAAGTCGCAAACCACGGAACCGAGTGTAGGTTCGGGCCCACGGGAGTAGAAAACGCTAAAGGGGACTTGTTTAATTTTTATTTCGCTATGTGAGACGCACCGGAGCTAATTGAATCGATGGCGGAGCTAATTCACTCGACGAGTCAGGCCTATTGGCAAAAGCTAAGATCGGTTATAAATTCGCTAAAGTTCGACGCTTTTCGAAACTTCTCGGGGTCGCTGAGATCGTAACGCTAATTCTCTGAGATGGTGAAAGTCCGAAACTTGTTTTCTGTA